TATCCGGTATCGCAGATAATGTCACAAAAGTCATATACAAATTTCTACATGGTCAGCGAAATATCGGTGAATTTTGTGAAATCCATATTCTGCCGTTTGGTCCTTGAGCGCACAAACCGGATTTGTGTTGGAGGATATGGGGTAGGGGCCGTTAATTTTTTTTCGGCTCGTTATTTTCGTTTTCAAAGAAAAGGGGGCTGCGGCCTTGTAGCCCTTCCAAATCGTTATAGGCTTTATGAATACCATTATACTGAAAATGTTTCAGTTTTTTTTAACACTTTCTTTGTTTTTGTATTTTGCACCCCCTTCCCGCCCTCAGCCAGTCAAATTGATCACCATAGTCCAAAACAAAGTTTACATGATGCTTTTTATCTTGAGTTCCTGTAACAATTTAAGATTGCAATCTTCTAGAAGGGAACATAATTCTCTGTTTATCGTCTTACAGACAATTTTTTTTGTTGCGAAAAGTAAAGCGTAATATTTCTTATAGTAATACCTTGATTTACGAACTACTATACGAGAGACTTGTCTTACAAGATTTTAAGTATAGCAGAAATAGTTATTGTTCGTTTTACTTACACGAGTTGAACACGAGTTGTGATAAGTCTTACACAGAAACAAGAAATAGGTGAATAAGAATAGTACCAATGCCCTTACATGTTACGTCACTGAATCTTGCACGTGACGAGCTTATATAGTATTACGTAATTGTCACATGACGTTTTGAAATAACAAGACGTATATCTTTGGACATTGCATCAGCTTGTGAGCCTTGTTCCAAGCCCCTCCCCCTTGCCCCCCCCCCCCTGATATTGGCACAAAACATAGCTATCGAAAAAACACTTTGATATATACATTAAAGGTACTATGTCCAATTTGCAGGCCAAAAAAATGAAAAAGTTAAATTCCAACTGCATTTGAAAGATAATACTAATTTAGAACTTCCCTAAAAAAGGTGGGGCTTGAAAATGTCTTCAAGTGGGAAAATAACGACTATTAGTTGCCAAATCGACTTTAGGGCTGTAGAGCCCAAAAGTAATAGTCTTGATTTTCAGACAATTGTACCGAATGGTCATACGTTTTATGCTGCTCTAAGATTCAATCAGTTTAATCTTGGCCATCACAAGAAGTGGGTTATTGATGTAGACAAATGCTCATGTACCCTTTACAACTCTTTTCATGTATGTTATTACCAAAGAAGAAAAAAGCCAGTCAGTCACTCAATAGTGTCTGAGAGTGAAGTCTAGCAAGTAAACAGGTTTCCTTGCATAATTTGAATATGAGGACACTGCTAACGTTTAAATTTCACAGAATAGGACATACATGACATATTCATGATTCCTGCAAAGTTCTACAGAATTTGAGGTTGGCTGCAAAAGGGACATAGTACCTTTAATGCTAGATGACATTCGACCACCAATCATAACCGTGCATGCGGGTATCACGATTTTCAAAGACGGGCTCACGCCCCTTGATCCGAAGAAAAGAATTCCAGTGTTCTTGTATTTTGCTGAATTTTGTGAGGTCACGTAAGAGTGAAAATGTACTTTTTCATAAAGCATAGTATTTGTTTGTAGATTTCAAAATTGTATTTGACCACCTGACTGCCCGAATATGATGAATATGAGTCGATTGCTACTACCCGAAATGATTGGTAATTTCAAAATTGAAGGAGACGGCTTCTGCCCCTTCCGTCTCCGCCCCCTGCCTAATAATACGCAAGTGAGCTTGAAAAGCGTATATCCTTAGTATCCATTTTTCTATTTTTTATCAGAATGATTGCCGTTCTCCGAGATGTTTAGTCTGATTGACGCAGCATGAAAATGGGGACCATGCATTTGAGTGATTGATTGATTGATTGATTGATTTATTCATTTCATATAAAAATTGTTTGCACAATAAGAATATAGTTGACAAAGTAAGATCAAAATTATGAAATGAAACAGGAACCTACTGGAAAGCAAAGCTTGTTTTTGTAGGTTCCCATGAATAAATATAATATGAACATTATTATCATAAATCATTTTAAAGTGTCTATACCCCCCCCCTTTTTTTTTTAACAACCTTAAATTCATTCTTTTTCTTTATGTCAAATAGTTTTGTAAGTTTTTTTTTCTCTTTTAAGTATTGATCTACTTCTAAAAAACACCTCCATTTTGATATCTTGGAGTTATCAAGTCCTACAAAATCCCTTAGAGAGGCTAAGTGTTTCTGAGTCTGTGTATTTATGCAATAATCGTGGCTCTTGCTTCGAATTACTCGGAGTTAGGAATACTAGAACGAGAAAATAACAAAACCAAAATAAAAGAACGTACATGTACATCCAATACTTTGCCATTACAAATTCAAAACAAATAACAGTGAACCCACATGCGCAACTCGTGATAGCTTATAGTATTACGTAACAGTCACATGTTGTTTTGCAATGACAAAAAGGCGATTATTTTGAAAAAGCGTTTATTGTACTCTGAATTGAGTGATGTAACGTTACGGAATAGCCGATAGCAAAAAAAGTCAATATTGGGGTTAGTTCTGTGAATTGCTTAGATCTCTCTTGGAAACAGATCAATTGAGGAGAAGAAGATCACTTTGATAACACAGTTTGAAGACTTGCTCAAGGAAATAAGCGAAGAATCGCGCAGATTATTATTTTGTATTCTTTGAATTCTATACACGCCTCTTGAAAATACGCGACATAATAGAATTTTTAAGAATACAAAATAATAATCTGCATGATGATTTGCTTATTTCCTTTAGCACTTCTACATGTTTGTGTTATCAAACATTGTGAGCCAATACAGTACTGTTCACCAGGCCCGTAGCCAGTTGACGTTTGGGGGGGGGGGGGCACATACATGTAATCGATCGACGTCCTGGGGAGGGGTCTAAACAAGTTCAACCGATCTTGGAAATTGTTGGGGGGGGGGGGGCACGTGCCCCCCCCCCCCCCCCATGGCTTCGCGCCTGCTATTCACTTCATTTAATTGAAGTAATAATAATTGTGTACATCATCTCCATTCTTAATAATTAAATGAGATTTGCAGGGATACGGCAACTTTTATATCAACTCTCCGACTTGGTCACAGTTTTAAAATGTTTTTTTGACAGCCATCGGATGCTGGCATTATTTTGTCTTCCAAAATGACGAAAAAATCGTATCAATATCTTCTAAATTGGCAGGTAATCAGGGACCATAGAGATTCTATTAAAACATACGATCTCTATATAGTCGGAGGGGGTGGGGTCGTGTTTTTTCCCCGGTTAGATCCGTCAGTTTGAAGTGTTGGGGAGGTTTGGCTTTAGTTTTTTTTTAGCAGAATATTCTAAAAAGGCATATAAGCAGATAGTTGCTGGGCTATATGCCTTGACACACCTGAATAAAATTGACTCATAACAGATCGTATTCACGCGGAACCACCTGCTAAAGGATGAGAGTGATTGCTTCATATACCCCCCCCCCCCTCTCTCCTCATTCTGAGATGCAGAGAACCACCACATGAGCTCTTAGCGAGAGCCTGCTGTTTCAGCACATTTTGTAAGATGTTTCATGATGCTGTATTGTTCACGCTTTGCCTTATGTATTTATCAAAAATAAAAAATAAAAATTTATATGCAAGGGACAATAGCCACCCTCTTGCAACCCACTTCAGAAACTATTTGTTACCCCTCTTCGGAAAACCAACCCAATCGATTGTTAGATTTTCAGCTATTGTTGTCTGGAGGTAATAATAATTGTCCAAGATGCAGGGTGGTATTTTTTTTTCATGACCGGGGGGACGAATTTGCGAGGGAAAATCTGTATTCCGTTGGTATCACGGTGATACTGACGGAATACAGATTTTCAATAATATTACTTGTCCATTTTGAAGAATATTATGCGTGGGAGATAGCGATCGAGCGAGAAGATTTTTGCATCCGTGGGGGGGGGGGCGACCCCCTACACAAAACTTGTCCCCCCCCCTCCCCCCACTATTGCCATTATGGGTAAAGTTGTGCACTTCTCGAATCATATAATGAATCTTTACACTTCATTTATTTCCATCAGTCGTCAAGAACCAAAGATGGCGCTATGGCACAGTTTCTCTACGCTTATCAGCAGAACTATTATAGATAGCTTTGGTAAATATTATCAAAAGTAGCTGCATGCATGGTCAAAGTCAAAAAGAAGGAGAAGAAGAAGAGAAGAAGAAGAAGAAGAAGAAGAAGAAGAAGAAGAAGAAGAAGAAGAAGAAGAAGAAGAAGAAGAAGAAGAAGAAGAAGAAGAAGAGAAGAAGAAGAAGAAGAAGAAGAAGAAGAAGAAGAAGAAGAGAAGAGAAGAAGAAGAAGAAGAAGAAGAAGAAGAAGAAGAAGAAGAAGAAGAAGAAGAAGAAGAAGAAGAAGAAGAAGAAGAAGAAGAAGAAGAAAGTGAAGAAGAAGAAGTAGAAGAAGAAGAAGAAGAAGAAGAAGAAGGAGAAAAAGAAGAAGAAGAAAAAGAATACTGTCTATCTGCGGCAAAGGAAAATAACAGAATTTCGTAGGAAAGTATATTTCGCGTTTCTAGAAGCATTATGACTTCTATATAACCATTGCTGAACTATGCATTTAAGAATTTCACCAGCGGAAAAATGTAATGGGGGACAGATCAACAACTAAAGCATATAGAGCCCAGCCCATAGGCCACATGCACTCCGTGAGGTGATTTGAAACAGCCTATCAAAAATATAAAGTAATTTATTTTGTTTTTTAAACAGTTGTTTATAGTTCCTTATCATGCTATAAAAATGTAACAAAATATCAAAGGTCTAAATATCTGTCTTTCGATCCTACCTTTGATTTGAGCAATAATAATAACCTCAAAAAAAAAAAAGGGGGGGTGGGTATTTCTTAATGTCCAACCACACCAGGCCTCAGGCCATCGGTAGGTACATAATTACATTTAATGTACCAATCAGTAGCCCACAACGTAAATTCAGTAATATTTGTTGACCCCACTACATAGAATCCCGTCAAACATTCAATTTCAAACAACAAGTACGACTGAAGTAAAGACTAGGCGTGGCGTCAAGCAAAGCGTGTTCTCTTTCTCTGGTTCTGGTCTTCAAAGGACCACGAAGGTGATAAATCAGGTAATTTTCATGCATTTAAATATTTTCAGTAAATGATTACAATGAAAAGTTTCGACCCTGGTATGAGTGAATGGTATAATAACGTATGGAGCTCTGTATGCGACTTTGAATGGACACTGAAATGATTGCAGGTCCCACGTATAGTTTTGTATGTATGGTTAGATTAATAGAGTGCCCAAATCTGCGCAAAAGCGTAACTGAGCTGCGCGATTCTGATTAAACAACACACAATTATGATAATGAATTGACTTTGTAGCTTTTGTTTGATGTCTGCCTGACTTGCGTACCAGGTAATCTGACTTAGCAACCAGGCATGCAGTCAAGAAGTTTGTTGTAATGAAATGACTTTGTAATTGTAACTTTTGACCAGTGGCAGTAGGGGCGCTGGTCCGAGAATAAGGATCGTCTTCATAAACGAAGATCGTCTTTGTTAACGAGGACCAATGCGTCCTCAAAAACAAGGATCGTCTGCAAAAAAGCAGATGTTCCATATTTTTGATCGGCACATTGGCGATGCAAAAAGCGGATTCCTGGATGATTTTCTTTAATGCATTTTACATTGGCTTTGTACAGAGTCAGAGACCTTCACATTATGAGCAACAAATCCTTGAGAAGACGGACAACCCATAAAAGTAGACGGTCAACTAGGGTTATTTTCCCCTAGGAAATCCAAATTTGGCATTGCTAGCGGGTGGTTGGGTAACCCGCAATGATGCAATTAAGTTAAAATATGTTGATTGATGTACTATTACCAGTCTCTTTTTTATGTAACAGATTATATCATGCTTTGTATGGTTTTGAATAAAATGAACTGAACTGAACGGAACTGAAAACGTCCGCGAAAATGCAGACGATCTTTGTTTGTGAGGACGCATTTTGTCTGCATTTATGAGGATATCCGCGTTTATGAGGACGATCCTCATTCTCGGACCAGCGCCCCTACTGTTGACTTTTGTTTGATGTCTGCCTGACTTGCATGCCTGGGGCCCATTTCTCGACACCAACAACAAGACAGTTATAACTCTATCCGCCAACTACGGAGATGTCTCTGACCTTACTAAACAGTTTCACGAAGAGCTTACTAGAAGTTGGTCCAATACCCGGGCATAAGGCTTCTACGCCTACGATTTGTTTTTTCCTATTCTCTTTTTTTCATTTGTGTGTTAATATGTTTCTGTTGTATTTCCTTCTGTTTCAAATTTGTATTAGGTCTATAGTAGTTGTAAATGCTAGGTGGAAGATACATTTTTGTGGACAAGAATAAATAAAATTATCAATTATCAGATATATAATTCTTTATGATAATTGCTATATAATATTATCTTTTTAATGATGTTGTCACATTTTTTAAAATGATTTATTAAACTATGATGTGAATTTGTCAATGTGTATTTTTAAAGCTTGTTTCTTTTTGGGGGCGTATTTTACGATAAATATGAGTTATGACAATGTCAGTCTTCAGACTTTTGACATGTCTTTTTATTTTGTATAAAAATTGTGAATCCATCACTTTCATTTCACATGCTTTTTTCTCTCAATTGTGTTGAAATTGAAATGCGTTGAATAAAATGCTCATCATGTGATGGGAATATGGTGTAAGTTCTTTGATTAACCTCCATACAACTCAACCAAAAACAAGCAAGTGAAAATTGTTTAATTTACAGATTTTTACATAAAAGACGCGAGGAATTCTACACCGGTCGTGTGTTTACCCAGTAACAGGTGTTGTCAATCACCAGGATTAGCTTTCACTTCAGTTTTATTTCAATCCAGCCTTATGCAAGGCTCTCGATTTTTCACCCATCGCCTCATATGGTAAAGTCATTATTTGACACTTCACTTACCTGAAGACTCTCTGAGAGACTAGGGGTATTTCTTGACGGGAATACAGGTTTGCTGTGTGCGAGACTTGTACACCCATCAATGGTATTTCCAGCAAGTCTGGTGTCAGCGAATGATAACCTTCTGCACATGGAAACTGACAACGATCTCCCTTTAAACCATTTTAACCAAGGAACCTGAGGGAACAGAGGCAACTCCTACCTGAAGAAGAGTGATCGTTCAAGAGTGATCGGTCAAGATGTATGCCTTCTACCGTGAGATCCACCCCCCTACTGGGGTGGAGCACTGCGTCTACTGTCATTTCTTCTCCCCGGACCAGCAGAACCTGGTGGTGGCAAAGGGCTCGGAGCTCACCGTCTATTCCATGATCACTGTCGACTCCAACAAGCCCACAGACAAAGGTGAGAGTTTGCTACGAAACAAACGAAGAAATAACTACCACTACGGCCATTACCAGCACTTATTCTATGTTAATATAGCTCCAAAATATAGCTCCCTGATCACTGTAGACTCCAATAAGCCCACAGACAAAGGTAAGAGTCTGCTAGAAAACAACATTAATATAGCTCCCATTTTCATTTGTCAACAATGGCCCTAAATACAACATAAATTCAGAAGATGAACACAAACATTGGTGGGCTCATACATCTGTCTTATACCATAATGATGATGATTTATTTATTTATTTATTTATGATGATGATGATTTATGTACAATATCATTACCATTGCCAATTCTTGCCATTCCATAAGTGTATACACCTCATTTGACTAGCTTATGATAGAATTTTCTGATTGTGATTTTCATAGTTATCTCTATTTTTTTTTTTTTGGGGGGGGGGGGGGGGAGGGCCGGAATATGTAATAGGATTTTTTTAATGAAATCCTTCGTAGATTGGGAAAGAATGGTAAAGAAGGGGGTATTTTTCACATGGAAATAGAAACTTGTTTGAGAAAAGTTTAAAGCTGATTTCCACTTTCATGTACTCTTCTTTAGATTCTAAACCCAAGAATAAGCTGGAGGAGGCTGCCACGTTCCACATCTTCGGCAAGGTGATGTCTATGCAGAGCGCTCAGGTGACAGGGTCAGGACGGGACGCTCTTCTTCTCAGCTTCATGAATGCTAAGGTGAGGACGCTGATCATTCCTCAGCCAACTGAAATCAGACTTCTTGGCAGGAATCTGTTTATAACTGTCTTTAAAAATGTGCCTGGCTGGAATGCTCCCCAGGGAGTGGCAAATGTGTATACATCGTGTGCGGGCAAGCCTGAATCTGATGACCGGGTTAATAATATATTTGTAAAGCGCTTAGAGACATTGTCGATGTATAAAGCGCTATATAAAAGCGAAATATTATTATTTATTCTTGGTCCCAACTGAGTGAAATATCTTCTCGCCCTATTCCAGAGTTGTCATTTTGGAGGATCAAAGCAATTTTTGCATTATGAAAGTATGCAATGACATACATGTTACGGTAACTATTATAAGCTTATAAAATAATTGAATTTGAATTTGAATGGCTATGAGGAGATCTGTCATAGAAAAGTAGCAGTTGCTCTATATTATTTTGAAACAAAACAATATCAAAACAAATCAAACCATTGTAAACAAAGAATAAATTGAACCAAGAATAATAAAGTTGCAAGTTTTTGCAATACATTGTGATCTAGTATTTCTTGCCAGAAAAAAAATTGGAATACGGTGAGCAATTGTATTCAATGTTCTGTTTATTTCCTTTTTCAGGTATCCATTGTCGAGTATGATCCTAACATGCATGATCTGAAGACGCTCTCTATGCATTACTTTGAAGAAGATGAAACCAAGGTGAGTAAATCAATCAGAAAATAATTGATGACCTCAGAAGTGAATGGTGGGGTAGCCGGCAGAAGAGCTGCCCCCACCTTTTTAATAAATGAAAACTTGTATTGGGTGGATATCCTTCCTTTCCCAAGAGTCTTTTGGAACTAAATGTCTTGGGGAATATATTTTTTAAGTCCTTTTCTAGAGGGAAAGAAATCATGTCGAGAGATTTTAAAAAAAAAACAACTATTCCTTCCTCCTCCCTTTTCCTTTCTCACATTCTTTGATACGCACTTGTAATCTACTCGCAGAGAGTTAATTCTTTCTATTTCTTACATTTTTCTTTAATCTTATACAGTACAACTACATATCCAATCTTCAATATCAAATTTAATTTTGCACCAATACATACCAGTATATGCATTTATTTCCCAATGATTTTCCTTAAAATTTTTAGGGAATGCTGCTCGGAAGGACAGCTTTGTAGTATGCTCGTTCTTTGTATCCTCTTTTAATGAGTACATGTACAATAATATTAGAATATTGTTCTCACAGTGTTCAGGCCCTATCCAACATTAACCTTATCGTGCATTCAAATAATTTAATTTATTTCCAGGAGGGAGTTTATCGTAACATTTTCCACCCCGTGGTGAAAGTGGACCCTGACCATCGATGTGCCATCATGCTAACCTATGGCTCCAAGCTTGTGGTCCTTCCATTCCGTAGAGACGGCTTGGTGGAAGACCTTGATAAGTCTATGAGTGCAAGGTAAACCATTGCTGTGCTGCTGGAAACCAGGGCCAGTTTCTCGAAACCGTCATAAGTCTAACGTCTAACTAATGGACATCCCATACGAAGGTGTGTTAATTCTATAACACGTTTCAATGGGATGTTTTAGAAGTTAGACTTATGACGGTTTTGAGAAAGGGCCCCCAGTGGGTATTTCACAAAGACTAAGATCCACTTTAAAAGGTGGACTTAACTATGGCAGGTTGTTCGTGCCACTTTTTGCTCTCACCATTTACTGGCATTTGCTTCTCAAGGGACATACAAATCATGGTCACAATTCTACAGAATTTACATTTGTTGATAATTCGTTATTGAAGGGAAAAATATTATCTGAAGATCATAATTGCGAGAGCAACTAGTGGCATGAATGGCCTGCCATAGATAAGTCCAACTTAAAGATGGTCTTGGTCTTTGTGAAACACCCCCTGGACACTCTATCATGTTACCAATTTTACCATATAAGTACAAGTTCTCGGGCATCCCATTGAAATACATGGTTATTTTAGTTAACTATTTTGTATGTGACTTAACACTGTTTCTTAAGAAACTTCTAAACTTTTTTTTCTTCTGTTTTCTTTACTTTCCTGCACTTTCGCAACTTTAGTAATATATTCAATTCTTGTAATTGTAAAGGTGAAGGTAAAGAGTATCCTCTTCTTCAGTTTAAACTATAATGTTTATGGCCTGAAAGATTATCACACTGCAATCATTGTATTTCCAAATGTGATATTAATCAATCAATAGTCCAGTTCACATAATGTTCAATAAAATTCAAAATTTATGTTTGAAAAACATTTGCCTAATTAAAATGAACCAATGAGTAAATTTTGTGAATTTATGAGATTTAAAATAGAAGTTACCTTGTCAATGTGCTTAAATTTTGTTTTTATTGTCCATTTTGTATGCCTCCGTTACAAAGTAACGGGAGGCATTATGTTCTCGGGTTTTCCGTACGTACGTCCCGTTCTCGTGATAGCGTTATCTCGAAAACCGATTGATGGATTCTCGCTAAACTTGGGTCATTAATGTATATATTTTGCAGAGCCAATGAACTGATTAGATTTGGGGGTCACAGGGCTCATTATGTATGCAAAAATAGCTCGTGATTGCGTTATATCTCAAGAACTGATTGGTGGATTCTTGCCAAACTTGGGTCATGTATGTATCTTGTTTCATTTTGTGAACCTGACAGTACTCGACGCGGAGCCCTGATGCCCAGCTACGTGATCAGGCTGAATGAAATGGACGATCCGATTTGTAACGTTCTAGATATTCAGTTCCTGCACGGGTACTATGAGCCTACATTACTCATCCTCTATGAACCACTCCGCACTTGGGCAGGGTAAGCATGTCTGTAATGTAACCGTTTTTCTTTCATTCATTCATTCATTTATTTTTCCTCTCGTGGGGTGGAGCACCCTTACAGCAAAAAGTGATTTCCATAGGGGACCATCATCATAAAAACAGCCAGGCATCAACACTATGCAAAAAGGCACAAGGGGTGCTTGAACCCCAAGTTGAATGTCAAAAAAGGGATGGGGAAGAGAAAGAAAGGAGGTGGGGGGGGGGGAAGGAAATGCATAAAGAAAATGATAAGATTCCCTTAGCTCACCCTCCCTCTAATCCTTGGCCTTGTTAATTCACATTTCAGCTACCAAACAAGACCACGGTCACACCCCCCCCCCCCCCCCCCCCCTCCACCCCCTTTTCCACCCTCAACAACTGGACTGGTGGTACATCTCTATCAACATCAACCCGATGACAACTGAATTGTTAGAGTCCCATATGCCTAATACAGGGACCACCTGGTCGCTCTAGGTAATAGGTTACTGTTTAATATAGACAAAAGGTAATAAAGGCCTGATTATGATAGTCAGATCCAGAATGTTGGTTTCAGTGATTTTAAATATCAACCCTGGTCAGCTTCAAAGGTTGTTTAGACTAGCTAAAATGTAAACAACCTAATACAAAGGCCGGTAATCATTTTTCATCACTCTTTCTCAACAGGCGTGTAGCAGTGAGACAGGATACCTGTTCCATAGTGGCCCTGTCCCTCAACATGGCCCAGAAGGTCCATCCTATCATCTGGTCTCAGAGCAGTCTACCCTACGATTGCATGCAGGTCCAAGCTGTTCCAAAGCCCATTGGTAAATATTTCAACTCCTTGTGATCTATAAAGGGTAATTATCAGAGAGGAATGGTTGTATATGGGCAATTAGGGACTTTTTGATTTGCATGTTCACTAGTGGACTGCTATGTATGCGGTCATTTTTTAAGCAGTGAGCATGCTCATTGACGAGCTCATCGTTCGTAGCCGAATTCTTAAATGCGTTCACCCTTGTTTCGCTGTCGGTCAAATATCTGTGACGGTACTGTTCATAAGTCATATTTTGTAGATACGAAACAGCACATTAACATCACAAAATGGACCCAATTGACATGGTTCTGCAAGCACAGAGTGGTGAAAGTGTCAGCTCTCTAAAATTAACACGTTCGCTTGTCTATAATTTCCCTTAAATAAAAATTGTTGCAGTTTAAGGCATTACATCTGACTTTGGACCCTGCAAATTTCTACAACATACTCAGAAAATTCTATTTGAACCTCCTATAAAAAAGTAAATATGAAACCCTGTGTATGGTGTGTCTCTGAGCTCAGGCACGTACTGGAGCACCACTTAACTTCTTAATAATGATTTCTTTGTTTCTCTTCTGTCTTTTCAGGTGGTGTTTTGATCTTGGCGGTAAACTCTCTCCTCTATCTGAATCAGAGTATTCCACCGTATGGTGTCTCTCTCAACTCACTCACAGACTGGAGTACTGCTTTCCCCCTAAGTAAGTCCTAGAAATATCTTTGATTTCTAAAAAAAAATGACCTTATTCTTTGAAAGAATTATCTGATTTGCACATGATCACCAGCTCAGTCTTGTAATTAAAAAAAAGTCAGAAAAAATCTTGGAACCAGTGGGATTTGAATCTGACATCCATTGCTTGACAGGCAGTGACTCTACAACCAGGCCATCACTGGTCCATGGAACAGTCACGATTAACTGAAAACAAATACCTCAGCTCTCGTGACTCATACTGACTTTTCAATATTCATCAGTCCACCATTAGGAGATTTAGGACAATAGCTTTTAATGTTAGGCTTCCTGGGAAGAATAGGATTTTTGACTTTCAGAGTGCAGTATTCTGTGTGAGGTTGATGATGTTTGTACACTGAGGCCCACAGAGATGATGATGATGCGAATATACAAAGAGCTTGATTCTAAAATGAGCTAAATCCACTTTTGATTAAAATTGAGTTATTGATATCAGAACATTATCCACTTAAGTACCTGTCTTTCAACAAATAATTTACTTAAATTTTTGGAGCAATTAAGAAAAAATGCACCTTCTAATATCACTTTTCCATAGACACCTGTACAAAAACTGGTAAACAATTTATTTTTTCTCTGAAGTTACGAAAATGTATTTAGCTCCTTTTGGAATTGCCTCATACAAGCTCTGCTTTTTTAGCAAGCCCCTCCGTTTTGAATTACTTCATCAAGGTCATTTTTTTTTCCTATTGTTCAGTACTGTTTTTTCCCAATATTTCTTATCAACTAAATTTTGTTCTACATAATACTGAATTTACTTTGTTTATATTATATTTGACTGTATTATATTATGTCTGTTTATATTTTGTTTGTTTTGAAACGGAAATAAAATCTGAAATCTGAAATCTGAAATCTAACTCTATATATATTGTTTGTACTCTGTACAGAAACCCAAGAAGGAGTGAAGCTATCAATGGACTGCACCCAGGCAACGTTCATCTCCTATGATAGACTGGCGCTGTCCCTCAAAGATGGAGAGATGTAAGTTCTTTTAATCTCATTCATGATACTTTATTTTAGCCAAGTCCTTCCAGTTTCTCGGGACACGATAGACCAGGTCTTCCTGACTGACATGGCATTCCTTAGGTCTTCAACTGCTGGTCCAGTGTCTTCTGGAACGTTTGTTTTGGCTGGTCTCCCTCTTTCTCTTCGCCCATATGATGTAGTCCGTAATGAGAAGTTCATGTGTTTATCATAATGAATCCAAATTTGAATGTGTGAATGTTTTATAATGCATTTTATAGATACATCTCCTACATAGATCATAGCATAATGCCTTTTCCCTATTCACCTGTCACAAAACATGCTCAAGACTATAGATAATGTCACTTGTCAGTGATTTATGCATTATTTTCTTCCTTTGGTGCCACTGTCACTATCATTATAATTTTATGTTTTCATATATTTTGCATTCATGTCCATATTGTTATATTTCTGTTTCTGTTTTCAGATATGTCTTGACTCTTCTTGTCGATGGGATGAGGAGTGTTCGAGGGTTTCATCTTGATAAGGCTGCCGCCAGTGTGCTCACAACATGCGTAAGTAAACCTACCTACATTATTATTTTATGACACACCCTATACGTATATGGTGTGTCATAAAAATAATAATCTTGTGGCTTAATATGAAATGTTGGTGCCTCATAATTGCACGGTCACTAGACCACCTGTCTACAAAGACCACACTTCTTTGTTTCCCTTGAAAATAGTTTCCCATTGAAACATGTACTAAAGGAACCTGTACATAGAGACCACCTGCCTATAAAGACCACTTTTCTTGCCTCCCTTGGGTGGTCTTTATAGACAGGTTTCACTGTATAATGAATAGAATTTAAATAGTATCCTTATTTGTCACATTTGCATTGACAATGTCATATTTGATGATGTTTTTGTCATTTCAGATATGCCCCATGGGAGACGGGTTCCTCTTCTTAGGTTCACGTCTGGGTAACTCTCTATTATTGAAATACACCGAGAAAGTATCAGAAACCAGTCCAACAGGTCAGTACTATTTAATTTCCATTTTGGGGTTATATTATCCTTGTTTGTTTGGTATTGTTTCCATGGAATTTTTTGTTGTTGCTTGTGTGCATATTTCTTTTTAATTCATTTTTATTTTTATGCCTCCGTTACAAAGTAGCCGGAGGCATTATGTTTTCGGGTTGTCTTTCATATGCCCGTTCTCATGATCGCGTTATCTCAAGAAATGGACAGATTACCATCAAACTCATCTTGCAAAGCCAATGAACTGCTTATATTTTAGAGTCATGAGGTAAAAGATAAAAGGGTCATACATGTTTATGAAAAATAGCTTGTAATCACGATATTCTGAGAACTTGTTAATGGATTACAATTAAACTTGAATTTGAAAAATTTCTTCTGTTTTGGTTTGTGAAATTGCTCTATGGTGGAGCCATCATTTTCGACTGCTCGCAGTCAAAGTTCCATCTAGTTATTTATGCACTAAACTGCAGGATAGTGGTATATCAACTAGTCATACAAGTGCATAATCTGTACATAGCTGGGAATACAAGTTTTGATCAGTCATGCATGTTAGTTCCACAAGTGGATCATGATAATGTTTTGAAAAAATGACCTGATTTTGTGTTGACTTGTGTTACATATTATGCATTAAATTGTCCTTCTGTATTTTGTCTTTCAGATGCATCGAAAACTGAGGAACCGAAACCGGTAAGAGAAATAAGTTACTTTTGAGAATTTATGTAGTACATGTCGGGAGGCAGAAGAGCCTTAGGACTGTGTTTACATAGCTAATGATGTTGAATCTTTTTCGTTTTTTTAAAACTTGTTTAAAACTTTGTTTTGTTGTTGTTGTTACTACTCTGTGTTTATAGTTTTACATTGTTCCATATTTCAGTCTAAAGGATTGTATAATATATTAGCACAGATTTCATGCTCTTCTAAATCTCAGCGGATGATTTATGACATTTTTTGAAATATTTTTGTTATATAGGGTGAAGAACCTCCAACCAAGAAGATGAGAAGTGATGATGCAAGTGATTGGATGGGTAAGATTGTTTGCTTTCTCTCTATCTCTCCTACTTCTTCTTCTCATCTTTTCTTCTTTTCCTTCATGAATATTGTTTTGTTAAAGGGATTGACTATCTTTGCCTCAGATTCTAAACAAAATCCTGGATTTGGCTCATGCTGCAATGATAATTATAAACCTTTAGGTCAGTCCGTCCGGAATCCCTTGACTTTTACAAGCCAATCGCATGTTTGATTATCAATATATTTATGATTGGAATTCAAAATTTCAAAAACTGTTTTCCCAACAGTTTTTTATAACACTAAGTCTTACTCTATTGGGAAAAATTAAATAAGGATGGTAAAACCGGTCACTCAAAGATTTTTACTTTCTTGAAGCACAAGTTTTGTAGGGCTTCAATATTACATCATAGCACAGACACTGATAACACCTAGGACCATGCATCTCAAATTGGTAAAACTGGAAACCTTGTTAAACAATGCCTTCAACGTACATTTTACAGTATGTTATGTATGATTTACATTTCTGACTTGGCTTAATTTGCTCAAAAGATAAGCTTTTCCTTCACAAATATAAGTAATACTATAAGGCTATTAGATGGAGATATTCATCAATAGTAATACAAATTTAAAAAACACTTTCATGTGTCATCAGTGATTTGAAAACCTTGTGTTCAGTCTCTATAATACTAATATGTGTTTTAGAATTCAAAATGTATAGCCATAAGTCATTTAAAAATTGATATGGTAGTTTTACCGAAAAAATTGAGAAAGAGAAGTTATGTTTGTGAATATGCAACTACATGTAATATGAAGAATTGTTAATCAGTATTAAATATTCAGCATACGTCTGTATTTTTCTTGTCCCCTTTTTAGCGTCCGACACCAAGTTCTTAGATGACCCGGATGAGCTGGAGGTGTACGGGAAACAGGTTCAGAAGACAGGGACACAACTCACATCTTACTCCTTTGAGGTATGTCTTTCAACCTATCTATGTGTTAATGTAGGCAATGTTGCAAAGGTTACAAACATGTATTACAATAATAATTTTGTAAGATACATTTTCATGAACTTAGTCAGTTTTTCTCGTTCCTCTTGATGTTTTGTTGCCCTTGGCATAAAGTGGTTAAAGGCCCTCTAAAAAAATTCAATGACAAAATTTCATTTGAGTTGTATCATAATGTTAAAGAAGATGTCATTTAAGGCATACTTCTGCAAACATTTCCCCCCAAAAATGTGTTTGAAGACAAATATTGATAAAAGAATACATAATTTGGGTTTTTGCCATCAAATTTTTGGTGAATTTGGAGCTGATCAAGTTCTGTAAAAGAGCTTAATAAGAAAAAAATATTATTATTATTTTTATTATTATCCAGAATGCTAGGAATTACACATTACACATGAGCAGAAAGAACAAAAATCAGGGAATTTCTAGTGTATTTCCAATGCAGTACGTTGTGCCATTCTAGAAAAAGAGCAATTAAATTGTAACATCATTGGAGTCTATATTCAAATTGGCAATTCTTTGTTAAATTTTGAAATTTCTTTCACATGAAGGAGTGGAAAATCAGATTAATTGTTGCCAATTTGAGGAGGAAAAACTGATTAATTTAGAAAATGAGAATTTATTTATTTATTTGAACATAATTCATCAGGATAACAAGATCAGAAAGGACTGGTTTACATCCTGGTCCTGAATAATAAAAACTTACACTAAAACATAAAAACAAAATAATCATACATATATAATGAGAATTGTTAAAATCCTCATGAAGTCATGATAAAAATATTTAGTGACCATAATTTGTTGAAATAGGTTTTCTTATACATGAGAACTCTCTAAACTGCTAGGGGTTGATGGATAACATGTTTATATTCTCTTTTTGTTTAGATTTGTGACAGTCTTCTCAACATTGGTCCATGTGGTAACATGATCATGGGTGAACCTGCCTTCCTCTCTGAAGAGGTAACTATTATAATATTGATAAGAATGATAATGATACTGTTGATAAAAGTGATATAATTTACAAAGGATCGCCTGTTTCAGATGATGATATTGTTTGTATATTTATTTATTGGTTTGTTTGTTTGTTTTGATGATATTGGTTCATTAGTTTGCTTGTTGTTTTTGTTTACATCATTGGCTGTCCCCAAAAGTGGACAAATTCTAGTTTAATCTGGCTTAATTTGGTCCACTGATATATGGAGTACGAGGTTTAAACCTCTTAACCCCACCCTCCTTCCCCTTCTTCCTCTTCATTAAGATATTGAGAGAGTTGTATATGAGGTGGAGCCCCTTGCATACTGCTGTGTTTAGACACTGTACAACTTTACTGTCATTTAATGTTATGCTAATTAAGTCAAGTCCCTGCCCAAGTCTGATTGTTATGCATGCTCTTATCACCATGAACTTGACGGACAAAGAAAGAGGATAAAATATACATTTCCTCAGGTAGACAAAGGAACATCCCTTCACTGCTGTTATGTAAAAATGTGTAGAACAGGTGTGACAAGCATATTCACCTGTTCTACACATTTTTACATAATGGCAGTGAAGGGATGTTCAGATGCCATTGCTATTGTGTTTTCCCATAGCCCTATAGTGCCACTACCACATGTTAATATCTTGCCAAAGGACACTGGTGCCACGGCGGGACTTGAACCGCGGACCGTGTGATCCACTAGACCACAACACCTCTAAGTGTGATGATATTCTTGTATGTTCTTCTCCCATCTGTAGTTTCAGGGTAATGTTGATCCTGACCTTGAATTGGTGACGACCTCAGGATATGGCAAGAATGGAGCTCTCTCCGTCCTACAGGTAAACTACTGCTCTTTGTCCTTCACTCTCAGATGGTCGATTGTGAACTTTAAGATTGACACTGTTAAATAATGAGGGAAATTTTGTTATATCTTTGATAAACTTATAGTACGTTATATTTAATCTGATTTTTGAAGATGTCAAGATTCCTAAGTGTTGAGATTCATAATAAACGAAAGTAGCATTTATGGTATTCAAATATAGATGTGTTTTGATAATTTGTCTACAATCAGTTTTAGTCAAACCAGTCTTTAAATAGTAGCCACTCCCCTACAAAAGCCACCTGTCTATAAAGGTCACTTATATTGCATCCCTCTAGAGATAAAGAAATTCTGTGTTATCTATCTACAGTGGCCACTTTTCACTTCAACTTGGCTGGCTATCAGAGAAAGATATGCCAATAGAATTCAAAAATGATTTACTTATTACCTCATTGTTCATCCATTAACAGAGGACGATTCGACCTCAGGTGGTGACGACCTTCAACCTTCCTGGATGTCTGGATATGTGGACCGTAAAAAGCCTCAAGGAAGCGGTAAGATATAGTTTGATATTGATGTATATATTGATTGGATACATTGATATTTAAAAGATGCAGGGGCAACATTAGAATTTTTATTTGAGGCACACTGGTCTCAACTAGTTTTTGACAAGCAGCACAGATACAAAATACATTCTTGCATCTTGGGGACCATGTTGACCAAACTGTTGGGATAGGATAAGCCTATCGTCAGGTATTTGAAGTTCAATATCAGAATTATAAATAAATCTTGAAGTAATGCTAAACCTAGTTGTAAACTTTACCTCTATACACAAGGCCTGGTTTTATCTCTTTTAACAATACCTGTATTTGGCACAAAGACACTCATCCAAACTCTCTCATTCTTTCTATTTTTCTTGTGCGCCTCGGAATAGAATTGTCTAGATAGACGGCGCTTTATAAATGCCTATTATTATTATTGATGTTTGATGGATGGCCAGTTGGCAGTGAAATGACTGCATCATTGCCCTGATGGATAACTAAATAAGATGTGTCGACACAGCTAAACGACAATCTTTTCATCCTGTTTGGTAATTTCACCTTTTGTATTGTATAATTACAGAAAGCCGATGAGAAATCTGAGGAATCAGAAGCCAGCCCGGAGGACAAGGACAGGCATGCGTTCTTGATCCTGAGCAAGCAAGACTCATCCATGGTACGTATCCCTCGCCTGGCGACCTCAATGTAGTCCTGTGACCTCTGAACTCGATACATCCCACCTGCAAACCAATTTGGGAGATATTGGAATATTGCATTTCATATGAAAATTTAAACAGATCAAATATTCCTGGAATATTAGTTCCTTATAGTGAACAGGAATATGGTGTCCAGTTGGATAAAAGACTGGATCACTTGCTAATTTTAGTGGTTGATGATGACTAAGTAAAAGGTTCGAGACATGGCTTGTTTCCATGGCAACAATGCCCTCACAGTTCAAATCCACAGCGTGCTTTAACCACCAGATCAAACCAAAGATGAAGTTCATCCCTCCATCTTTGCAATGTGGATACAGCATACAGCAAGTTGTGCAACGGATTCTAACTGTAGCAGAGACTTGCTAACAGTTTCACATTCTGCACAAACATCTCTATAAATCCTCCTTTCTCTCTCTCTCTCTCTCTCTCTCTCTCTCTTTCTCAGTTTCTTGTCTTTCCTTCATTTTAAGCTGTGGTTTGAATGGAGGGTAGCCGGGAAACTCCATGTTACATGATAACAATTGCTGTCTGAAACCATTAAACTAAAATGCACCATACCGAACCACTCAAGCTCTTTACCTATATTTTTGACGAAATATGCCTAGAGCAACTTTTCCTAAAGCAAATAGGGGGGGGGGGCTGAAGAAACATATTTCTACTTTTGTTGTGCAGGTACTAGAGACAGAATAAATTCACTCATAGATTCTTAGTTAAAAAGGCATCGTTTAACAATGTTAAATCTGAGATGCACGGCCCTAAGCGTTATCACTGTCTGTGATATGCTGTAATATTGAAGCCCTAAAAGAATTGCGCTTCAAAATGATCAAAAAGTGCCTCAAAAAAGTAAAAATCTTTAAGTGATCATTTTACCATACTCGTTTTCCCCAATAGACTGTAGTGTTATGAAAACCGTTAGGGAAAACGCAAAATTTGGTTTCGATTTCCAATCATAAATATCTTGATAATCAGGTTCCTGACTGACCCAAAGGGTTATAATTATCATTGGAGCATGAGCTAAATACAGGATTTTGTTTCAGATTCTTAGACAAAGTTACGGGATCCCTTTAATGTTCTAGGGACAGCCTTGTTTCTATTTTCTTTGTAAGAGCACAACTCTTTTTTTCCGTAGGTGCTTCAGACGGGCCAGGAGATCACGGAGGTTGCAGCAGGAGGGTTCAGCACCCAGGCTCCGACCATCTTTGCCAGTAACATGGGTGATGATCGCTACATCGTCCAGGTCATGAACAAGAGCATCTGCCTTATGGAGGGAGGTGAGTCGATAATGAACCTGGGCTATCATCTCCTTGACAACAATTCCCTGAATTATCGTTCCCCGGACATCTTCCACATGAACAATTAGCCCCCCTCCCCCTTCCACACTCACACACACACACAGAGTCAAACTCAAATGTATTTATTGAAATCCAAATCCTGACATAGACGGATCATCATCAAAACAAACCCCCAACAAAGCAAAACAAAATTGAGACGTACTGAATAAGAACTAAATTCTCAACAAAACAAGCAAAAGTTTAAATACAATACTGCTGATTTTTATTATCACATGACGCTCTACAAAATTTGTAATATGGTTATTATCACACACGCACACACAACTACCCCTCAGCATGACTATCCTCTTGAGGGTAAGAGGGCGGTAGCTCAGAAGATGATTGTTCTAGAGTCTACATGTAGTCATAGGGGTGTAGGATAATTGCTTAGAGGGTGGTCATCAAAGGGGTATTTGTAACCGAAATAGGTAGTACAGTGTTGTAACACTGTGTAAACTACTAGCTCATTACTTTTGCACTTTGGTAATTTCACATGAAACCCTGGCACCAGCAAATGATGAAACCTCACAACATTATCTATAAATCAATTTCTTGTCTCATTCCGACAGTTGAGCAAATCCAGCACATGGTGTTGGACGTAGGATCCCCCATCAAGCAGTGCTCTCTGGCCGACCCTTACCTCCTGCTGCTGACCGAGAACGGTGACCCCATCCTGATGACCCTCAAGCCTGATCAACAGGGCAGCGGTCATCGGCTTCACATGACCAAGCCAACGCTCTCTCAGGTTAGTATTTTCTTGATTGGTGTGATGGTATTGATGATGATGTGCGTGTGTCTGTAATTGGGTTTTTACAGACGTGTACAATTCAGATATGATTGACGTCTGGGGACCAACCTTTTTACGTCACCATCCAAAATACATGACTCGGTATCGAACCTGGGTCGCCTGAGCCAGTTTGCAGGCGTAGACAGAGAGCTGACCAAGTGAACCAACTCGTATCTCCCTGATTGATGATGATAATAATGGCTTCTTATGCTTTCACATCCATCTCGCCGTGATGTTCATGGCACTTAGTCATTATTACCCTTGTTATAACTGAGCCGCCAAAGTAACTAGCACCCAAGCATCTTGAGTACCCATTTACACCTGGGTGAAGAGTGGCAAATGTAGGTTAATGTCTTGATCATGCTACCAAACCAACTCCAAAACTGAGTACATATTGACTAATTCATGTCCATTCTGTGAATTTTATTTTGTGTGTGTTGTATTGACACTCTGGATATCAATATATTCAGTGTGACTGGGGTCATAGCATATTGAAAGAGATAGTTGTGACATGGTCATGTGCACATACATGTACACGAGAAAGGTCTTAGGTTAAATCCAAAAAGTTCCCTCCCATGTACAAACTCTATAGGAATGAAGCTATTTTGGAACTTGGTGTAATGCCTGACCAATCAGAAGCAACTTGAGGTGACACAACTATCTCTCTCTTAAGTAGCTATGACTGGGGTGTAGTGATTTTGAGTTCTGATAAAGATGACAAATGTAGTTTTCTCAGAATTCAACATTATTTATCCTAACATTGCCTACAAACTAATGATATTCAAAATAATCTTATATCCCAATCTCCAGAAATCCAAGATTGTTGCCTTGTGTGCATACAACGACACAAGTGGAATGTTCTACACAGCCAGCCTCTCCGCTAAAGAGAAGATAAACGCGAATGCGACAGAAAAATCATCATCATCGAAGACTGAACCAAGCAGTCTGAACACCAGGTGAGACCCGCCTTTCAAACCCTGTTAAAGGCATTGTTTAACAATGTTAAATCTGAGATGCATGGCCCTACGTGTTTTCAGTGTCTGTGATATGGTGTAATATTGAAGCCCTAACACAAAATTGCACTTCAAAATGATCATGAAGTGCCTCAAAAAACAATAATCTTTGAGTGACTTGTTTTACCCCACTCATTTTTAAAGAAATTATAAATGATGTTGGGAATTTATTTTTTTAATTCCAATCATAAATATCTTGATAATCAGACAGGTGATCGGCTTGTTAAAGTCATGGGATTCCTGACTAAAGGTTTATAATTATGATTGCAGCATGAGCTAAATTCAGGATTTTGTTTAGAATCTGAGGCAAAGATACCCCAATCCCTTTAAGACAATACACAGTTATTCATCTTTTTAAAAATGCATGGGCATATTTATCCCTGACAAGGGTACCAACGTAGGAGGCATGATGGCTCAGTGGTAGAGCAGTGGTCTCGATACTGGAAGGTTCCAGGTTCAAAACCTAGTCGATGCGCCAGTGCCCTTTGGTAAGGCATAAATCCTCATAACCAAGTCCCTCAGAGAGGACTTAAAGCAGTCTGGTAAAGCAATCATCAAACATTATCATCACAATGAAATTAATTATTTTAGAAAATGGAGGTATAGAGATAATCCTATTTCCTTTATTTCATACTTGTATTTTTCTTCTAGCAACGTTGATGATGAAGATGAGCTGCTGTATGGATCATCAGAACCTGTGGCCTTCATCCCTGCAGCACCGGAGGTTGAAACATCAAGGTAAGAAGAAGCGGTTTATTGCTGTTTGGTCTATAACCAGTTCATCTACTACCCAAGCAGTCTGTTCCCATTATGGTCTGCACCCAGCCCATCTACTGCCCGTATGGTCCAGGACTGATAATTACCCGATTTAAATCGGTTTCCTGATTTATTAATTTGTTTTTCCTGATTTTTTTTTCTTCTTCTTCTTCTTCCCGATTTCAGGGTTTTTCCCTTATTTTCCTAATTTTCTTACTCAAAAGGGGGGAATGTTGTTGAATACCATTCCCCCCCCCCCCCCCCCCCCCCCCCGCAACCTTTTTTTTTTCACTCAAGAGGGAGTCGTTGAGGAAATTCATTATAAATAATAATAATTGTCAAATGATCATTGGACCTTATGGATGGTAGCAGAATGGGCATAAGACAAGCTGGGAATTAGACTAACTGGTTGTCAAACTAAATGAACAATAAACCAAATGGGTAGTAGACTATTTGGAGATTAGACCATATAGAAATTAGACCAAATGACTATTAGTCTAAACGGTCATTGGACCAAATGATAAGTTGGACGAAATGATTATTAGACCACGTGGATAGTAGATGGGCTGGGTGTAGACTAATTGTGAAGTATCATTGCTCTGATGACTTGATAGGTTTCATTTTTCAATTGATGATGCATGCAATATTGCAATAGGTTTACCGTTTTCATTTCAAGGTGCTCGACCTTGGAAATGATATTCAATGTTTAATAATGATAATACAGTCAAACCTGCTTTAGCGACCACCTGTATAGAAATTCCACCTTTGTTGTTACCCTTGAAAATGGTTTCTCATTGAAACATGTACTAAAGGAACTTGTACATAAAGACCACCTGCCTTTCAAGGTCACTTTTCTTGTCTCCCGTGGATGGTCTTTATAGACGGGTTTCAATGTAATTGGATTTATATAGCACTTTTCCCAGAGGATACAAGGCATCGTCCCTTAGTCTATCAATAAATTAAGAAGAATTTTTGAGGTATGTTTTCAGATCTTTTTTTGAAGAAGTCAAGTGAAGTACTATTTCTTAGAAATGCGGGAGTTTGTTCCACATGCCTGGGGGCAAGGATTGAAAGGAATACAGTATAGCCTCACTATTTATGATGTATAGATACCTTATGTCTGGAGCCAAGAGGGTGGTTTCTTATGTCATTTTACAAAGCTAGCTCTAAACAGAAGATCTGGGGGGTGTTTCACAAAGATCCCAATTTGAACTTATCTTGGAATTATGGAAAGTCGTTAGCATCTATCAAAATATTTTGTAAAAGTTATTTTAAAAGGCATAAAATGTCGATTCAAATCTTCATGTTTTCTCTACTATCAAGGAGATTTCATGTTCTTGATGTGGAATGTATAAAAAAAGTCTAATAAATAGAATTTTTGCTTTTGAATATACTTTATTTTGAGCCTACAAATGGCTATCCCTAATTTTTAAGTCCAACTTAGAGCTAAGTTCGACTTAGGATCTTTGTGAAACACCCCCCAGGAGTAGAAGCTAATAGTGGAAGTGGTTGATGATGACGAAGTAAAAGGTTCGAGATATGGCCCGTTTCCATGGCAACAATGCTCTTACGGTTCAAATCCATGGCGTGCTTTCACCACCAGATCAAACCAAAGATGAAGTTTTCCCCTCCATCTTTGCAATGTGGATACAGAGCATACAGAAAGTTGTGCAACGGATTCTGGCTGTGGCAGAGACTTGCCGACGGTTTCACATTCTGCACAAACATATCTATAAATCCTCCTTTCTGGTCTCACTCTCTCTCAATTTCTCGTCTTTCCTTCTTTTAAAGCTGTGGTTTGAATGGAGGGTAGCCGGGAAACTCTATGTCACATGATAACACTTTCTGTCTGAAACCATTAAACTGAATCCCCAGGATCAAGGAATTTTTGTACTGCATACCAAACTTCAACCATAGTCTTATCATATCATGGATTTAAAAATGATAGAATATCCTGGGCCCCGTCTTATGGAAAGTTGTGATTGATCGCAACTTATTTACAATTGATTAGAGGATTTGCGATTGATTCCTACCAATTGCAACTCTTTATAAGACGGGGCCTTGAATTGAACTGGCAAAATGACCTTAATAGAATGAAAGTTCGTTATAACAGTGTTCTGTGCAACAAGGTGTCAACATATTCATGGTTACATCAGACATGAGTTATTGAGCAGTACATTTTAAAAAATGATGCACTTTTCATGTTTTCTATGATTACCATTCACTTCTTTTGTTTTATGTAGCAAAAGTGAAGAAGATAGTGAGAAGAGCTCACACCAAGAGACAACTTACTGGTGTGTCTTCTGCAGAGAGAATGGACAACTAGAGGTAAGTTCTCTCCAGAGTTTGCTCTTGTTATATTATCTTCTTTTTTGTGACTATTTTGAGTCTTTACTGGTTACTGAATCATTGCGAGAGTTGGGCTTGTGCTATGAATAGTAATAGAAGAAAAAAAATGTATACCTGTTTGAAAACATTTCTTTTACAAAATAGGTTTAACCTCATTTTTCTCAACCATTTTATTTCTTGTAATTTACCTTTTTGTCTCTCAATGTTTCACCTCGACTCTTGTCTCTTTTTGTCTTCATCCCCTTCCTTTATTTTACCCTCCTTTCCCCCCTTTCTCCCTCCTCCCCTCTCGTCTCCCCTCTTTTGTCCATCTGTCCATCTCTCATGTATATCTTTGCCTGTCTTCTCCACCCTCTTCTCCTCCCCCCTCTTCTTGTCTTTCTTTGTCTTTCTCCCATTCCTCTATCTTACCCTCTTTCTCCCTCCTCCTCCCTCCTCCTCTCCCCTCTCTTTTCTCCATCTGTCTCTCTCTTCTGTATATCTTTGATTTCTCTCTCTTTCTCTCTCTCTCTCCCTCTCTCACCTCCTCCCCTCCTCCCTTCCCCTTGTTTTTGTCACAGATGTACAGCCTACCAGACATGGTGTTAGCTTTCTTGGTCAAGAACTTTCCCATGGGCTCTAAGGTGTTGGTGGATAGTGGTTCTGCCTTCATGACAGGGTAATTGTCTACAGTTTATTAAAATTATGTCTTATGTTTTATCTTCTTATCTATAGGTTATCACTATTTTATCAGTTGGGGGTATTGAATTTCAAAATTAAATAAAAAAAAACACTTCTATTTTACCTTACTTTTTTTCTCTTCCGCCGTAATATTAATTCAATTCAATTCATAAATGGTTTATTATGCAATTTGAAAATACATACATCGTAATTATCATTTTTCATGAAAAGCAAGTTAATGTTATAACTTGCCAAATGTTGGGACCATCAATCTGTCAAGCCTCAGTAGGCTTTAAATGGAGACCCCTTTTATTCTTTTTATCTTGTATGAATTCAGATAATGTACGTTGTATTCTACCTTGAAATTCTTTGTATATATTTTGATTTTTGCATGTTTTTTAAACTGAAGAATGGATAAAGAACTAATAATTAAAGGGTTGTTGAAATTGGCATCAATAAGTAGTTAATCATGGATACTGCTTTAAAAGTCCTTCCTACGACATATTTGTGAATCGTGTTCCCTGGGATCTTAGAGAAAGAGAGAGAGGGAGTGAGAAAGAGAGAGAGAGAGAGAGTCCTTCTTGGCGTAGTAGCTTTACTTTTAAGGAGAAAAAGAAAAAGGAAGAGGAGGAAAAGAAGAAAGAGTGAATAGAGAAACTAAAGCATGTTACATTCGATAATTACTTTTCAAAATGGCAGAGATCAAAGCCAGCAGCATGAGATGCTTCAGCAAGTTCAAGAAGTCCTCCTGGTTGGTCTGGGACATGACAGAAAGAAGATCTACATGCTGGTAAGTCTGTTATCATTATGTATCCTTTATTTGGCATCAGTTGAGTTAAGTACCGGGTGCCAAACTTATTGAGGTATGGCTGGTATGGAAACTAGTAAAACTGATATTTTAAAACTGTACAGGTAATGTATTTTATCTTAATCTTTTGTAACAAAATCTCTCCTTTTGTAATGTATTAAACATGCTCATTTTATATTAGTGCTGTAGCCGAACCGCCGAACCGAACGAAAGTTCGCCGAATATGGCACTTCCGAACCGAACCGAACCGAACCGAATGCAAAGGCCTGGTTCGGATGTTCGGCAGAAAAATGTAAACGTTTTTGCAAGCTAATAAACTAGTCATTTTGTACCTAATTTTCATTTCATGATTGCTCATTTTATATTTACTTTTTTCCCATTTTCCGCCTTTGTGATTTATGCCTATCCAGTGGTGGGCGCGACTTCACTGGCGCCATTTAAATCCCAAATCCTGACCACGCTACGTCGCGATCGCAAGCCATAAACAAGAATACATGTGCGTGACCGAACCAAGTTCAGCTCAACAAAAGAAAAATATTTTAATTGTAACAATATCGGACAAATTTTACAATATAAATAATGAAATAAATATATATAATAGTATGGTATCTATTTATTCAGGAAAAATAGCGATTTTATATTCTTCCTATTGAAAATAAAAACTTATAAAAAACAGTTCTTGACGAGCCATTCAAGATGGCAGCTTTCATGACTCTAACAATAGACAACAACCGTCTCGGAAAATCTTTACAAAATATCATTTATTGACAAATTGAAAACATGATTCTTTTAAAATTGAAAATAAAACATGATTCAAGACGGAAATACGAATGTGAGTAGTATTTTTCTTCACAAATAATTACGTTTAGAGCAGTTTTTTAATGTGAAATTCATGCTGGTCGGAAGCAGTGTGCCGAAGTCCTCCGTGCTGGTTGGGCCCGGCAGGCCAGCCAGCCCGCCCAGTGCAGACCGCCGTGGCTATAACGCTGCTTGCTATTATAATATTACCGAACCCCGAACCGAACCAAGTTCAGGTGAAAAATTTCCGAACTCTGCCGAACCGAACCGAACACGAACATAGCGTCTGACTTACAGCACTATTTTATATTTAGAGTTATTACTATATTGGACTAATTACTATTTCATTACGACTCCTTCACATCCACTGCATCACAGTGTACGCATTTTTTTCTCATTTGTATCATTTGTCTATTTTGTATACAATATTGTTCCAAATTTCTTTATTTCTGCATACATTGATCGTTTTAGAGATGTGGAATAAATGAATTTGAATGAATGAATCTGAACAATCCACTTGTGTATACACAAGTATATGAAATAAATACATGATGGTACAATCTACAGGTACTGTGATTTTAATGGTTGCTTTTCATTTATTGGATGGTGACCAGGTATATATATATATATATATATATACATGTCAAACCAAATTAAATAATTCATATGTTAATTCTTACAGGCACTAGTAGAAGATGACATCATGATCTACGAGGCATTCCCCTACAATACTGTCACACAAGAACATCATCTTAGAGTTAGATTTAGAAAGGTAATCGTATTTGTACAGTGAAACCTGTCTACAAAGACCACCTAAGGGAGACAAAAAAAGTGGTCTTTATTGGCAGGTGGTCTTTATGTACAGTTTCCTTTAGTACATGTTTCAATGAGAAACCATTTCAAGGGAAACAAACAAATGTGGTCTTTGTAGACAGGTGGTCACTAAAGCAGGTTTGACTGTATTTCGAGTTAGCATGGACAATGGATCTTCTTAACCTTATATTTGAGAACCCCTCCCCATTGGGTTTATCTTTTGTTTTTAGGAGATTAATGTAGTTGTAGGTAACATCGTGACCAACGAAGCAATTCCCTACCACACTGTCACACAAGAACATCATTTCAGAGTTAAATTTAGAAAGATAATTGTCTGCAAACGCAACATAGTTTTCAATCAGGATCACTCAATTTGGACTAGCATTCATTTTTTTTAAAACCAAAGTATTTACCCTAAATTTAAGAGAGAAAAATTACTTTGCTGGGCATGTGCATTTAGACAGCATTAAGATAACTACACTCAACAAATTCAGGTTTTATCTATCTTATTGCTGTATTTTTGGAAATAACCTCCTTTCAGCTCACCCACAATTTCATGTTCAAAATTCATTCCGTCAGATCTAGAATGATAATCTGAACTACGAAACACGTCATTTGAAAAGAAATACTTTCCTTTCCTTCAACAGATCCCTCATAAGATATTGATGAAACCCAAGAAAACGAGAACGTCTAAGAAACCAACAGCAGAGGGCGGTACCAAGCCGGAGACGGAGACAGAAGCTGAGAGCGATACCAAAACCACATCAAGGCGTGTCAACAGACTCCGAGAGTTCCACAACGTCCAGACATACTCTGGGGTATGACAATTATTATTAAAAAAGCTTCTTCTTTTTTCATGTACAGGAGCTCTTTTTAGATTCAATATGTAAAAAGGATGGGGCTGGTTTCTCAAAACGGACATAAGTTCTTGGACATCCCACAGAAACCCATGTAATATAAGTTACATGCTTTTCAATAGGATGTCCATGAACTTAGACTTATGACAGTTTTAAGAAACTGGCCTCGGGTTATCTATCTCCCTGGGGGGGAGGGGGCTTTCCCCCAATTAAATCAGTCATCTTTCACCCTGGGCATTTCTTTGTTATGTTTTTGTTTTGTTTTATTCATTTTTACTTTTTTGCTGAATATGTTTATATGCTGTGTACTTTATATATTCAAACATTGCAAGAAAACGCTATATGAACGCCTCTGTCCTGTAATAGACCAGTTTACTTACATACTCAAATGTATGGATGTTTATTTCCTGGGGACCTAGTGACGAGATATTCCATTAACCTGTTATCATTTGTTACTTGTTGCTATGTCTGGCAAGCTTTCAGATTGTCAAGAAAAATCTTTGTTTAAAAAGTATGCATGAAATTTGAAACTATCCCTGAATAAGGAGGTTGTCATTTTTTTCATGACAAGTGAATTTGATTTCAATCCTTCCAACGATTATCTTGCAGGTATTCATAAGCGGGTCCCACCCATACTGGCTGTTTGTCACCTCTAGGGGTGCCCTGCGTACACACCCTATGCCTGTAGATGGCGCCATATCATGCTTTGCTTCATTCCACAACGTCAACTGTCCCAACGGGTTCTTGTACTTCAACAGAAAGGTAACATCTGACACAAACTTTATAATGTATCTGTACAGTGTATAAACTGGCTCACGTTGAGCAAAACTTACCATAATTTACTGCAAACAAAAATAATACGCAATATATAGACCAGGATGAAACAAAATCACAAAATGTCTGAAATAAAGTGAAAGAAAATGGAGACAGAATTAACATAACTTATCCTACGTCAGTGCGAATGTGTGTTTTATTGGCTCTACATGAAAACAGTATTTTAGAATGTATACATAAATCAGATAGAACAAAAAAGATATTTGTCTTTTGCATCGCATTATGTTATTACGACTTGAAAATTGTAAAAATCAATGAATTTACACTTAAATGTATAGTGTAAAGAACATTTTGGATAATGTAGATTTCTATTTCAATCCCCCTCTTCATGGTGTACAAGAAATAGTCCAACACTCACATGAATATCAGGTGCCTTTTTCATTGTCATTATGTAATTATTTACCGTACATGGAGATTAGTCGCTTTCCCCTTCTAATATGTTGAGAATTTCATGAATTGGGTGCATGTACATGTATCTTCCCTGTCAACTTTTGTATAATACTTCTGTCATCGTATATCTGGGACCCGTTGCACAAAGCCTTTTTTCAATGACAAATGACAAAAATCAGTGACAAATCTGCCCATAACCAATCAGAAGCAAGGATTTTATTAGCTTATAACAAAAACTGTCATTTGTCACTGATGAAATGTTTTGTGAAATGCTCCCCAGTATTATAAGAAGTTGCGGTTGATTAATTTTGCCTTAATTTATATCAATTTGCATGCAATATTTTTTTGTTGTATTGAATGAGCTTCATCCTTATGCTTGCATTGCAGGAAGAGCTTAGGATATGTGTGTTACCGTCCCATCTGTCGTACGACGCCCCCTGGCCAGTCAGGAAGGTACCTCTGAGGTGTACCCCTCACTTTGTGGCGTACCATGTAGAGACTAAGGTAAGAAAAGTAGTGGTTGTTGTTATTGTGGGACCACAGAGGACACAATGACACACAAAACAACAACAACAAACATTTTTTGTTGTTGTTGTTACAGTGGAAGTCCTCTTTTATTTATCTACAAACTCCTGTAAATCTTGTACAAAATAAATAAACAAGATGAATCAAATTATGATATAGAAAAAAAAGAAAAAAAATCGTTATGACATATCATTTTTAGTTACAGATGTTTGGGAATTTTGTCTTTTACAAATTGAAGAGATGAAAACTTAGCAGTTTTTAAATGGCTTGAATAACTGCACCCGGTTAGTCAGGGTTTAAACTTGGACTAAAGTTGGTACACTTTTATGAATACCTGCTGTTTTGTTTTTCCATCCCAGACATATGCAGTAGTCACAAGTGTACAAGAGACCAAGACACACGTATGGAAAGTGACGGGAGAAGAGATAGGGGAAGAACCTGTAGAGCGAGGTACGTGAAGTATTCAGTTGGTCGATACCGGCTCCTGCAAAAAAAAAATTGCAGTTGGGAAGAGGTGAAATATAATTTGTGAACGTTATCATTGTTATTATGCAAGTGTTGAAGAACATCAGATAAAGAATGTTCCCTGAGAAGCATGGCTCTACAAAAGCGTTAATATATTCTAAATATGGCATCTAACAGCAAATGAAAATCGGGACTGAGTTTAATGCCACATGATCGTGTAGTCCCATATACATAGTTCTGTGTACAGTGCTTGTAACTTTACTACCTGACTGGGCCAAATTTCTTATCATTTTTATGATTCCAGAACCTTGCAATACACACCAATACTTATATGCTAGACAATCCACCTTTTCTGATCGATTTCACACCGTTTCTTTCACAATGCAATCGCATGACCAGAACTCAACTTTATCTTTAATATCCTGCAATTAATGAATTCCTAACTTCAACCATGGACTTAAACATAGTATTTAAACATTCTATCCATAATGCTTTATCTTTTACAAAATGAAGACTGGGGCAATTTGTCACCAAACCATTTAGTGGAGGACCGGAAGAACAGAAAATGATGCATTCATTCAATTTGCAAAAACTTAAAATGAAAAAAAAAAACTTAAAAAAATTATTGGGGGATTCTAATTAGGAGCTTCTCAAGGAAATTGAGTATTAGTAACCTATCTTATTCTATTTTTCAGTCATGACACCCCTCTAAATTCTGAACACCCAAGATATGAACTACATTCAATTGATCGCTATGAAATTCTCAGGTCTATACGTTAAACCTTACTCTTGAACAGTGTTACTTAAAACAAACATCTTTTTTTTTCTTTTCCCTTCAAACTCTCTAGAATTTGAGCTTTATTAATCACTTTTTATCCACTTTGTATTTACTTAAAAATTAATTTTTCATTAAAATTGTTCAATACCAGACCATCAATATTTGTGCATATACTTGTATTTAGTATTTATTGTCTATTTATTGATATTTGACTTTCACTGGTGTAACATATACATAACATATAACATTGACCCCAGTAAATAAACAAGGTTTAACATATGACTAAGCACAATTACTTGTATATAACAGGCTTCTGTAAATTTTCTTTTCTACAACTATGTTTAGATGACCGCTTTGTGCCGACCACCAAAGTCGTTTTCTCCATACAGCTCTTCTCACCAGTTAGTTGGGATGCCATTCCTAACACAAGGTATATTATCCATTTCAAGTTTTATATGAATTGCGTCGTAGGATCTTGAAGTAATTGAACATAAGTCATCACAGAGTTAACAAAACTTACACTGAATGATCAAGACTACAAGTCAATGATGTCTGCAAATTATTTTTGTATATAAAGTTTTATAACTGAGTGAGCAAAGAAAGATACATAAATTGAGCTGATAGTCCTGACATACAGGTAAAATATTTTACATGATTCATACTTTTAGTTGAATGTGATTTCAGCAAGTTTTTGCCCAAAGCATAGCATCATTTACATTAATTGTTCAATTGGCATAGAATATATTTTTGTATTTTCTCTGTTATCTTGGATGAAAATTGAGATAATGATAAGTAGAAGAAAATTCAAATGTTCTTAGATTATGTAACAATTGAATTCCAATTTTCTATTTTATGAAAGAAATAAGTGATTTAAAATTGATAAGGAAATATACAATGATCTGTTAAAAATTATTAAACAATCAAATTTCAGTGATACGTACTGGCATTTAATTTGAGTTACAAATATGATTTAATTTCAGGATTGAGTATGAAGCTGCAGAGAATGTGACGTGTCTAAAGGTCGTTAACCTCAGCTGTGAGGGTACCATGACCGGAAAGAAAGGCTACGTTGTCGTGGCAACCACGCATGTGTACTCCGAAGACCTCCAGACCAGAGGATCGGTAAGAGATCTTCAAACCTGATTGGCAACAGCTCATGTGCCGGTCACACTTACGGCTCATTCAGATATATGACGTGGCAAAACCACAATTTTTGCTATGATGATAATGTAAAGTGTGATATGCTTCACATTTCTGTATCTTATAATACAGATCTCAGTGAATAGACCAGTTCACGGTTAGCACATTACTGCATTGACCCTGAATATCAACAGATCTTTAAAACATGAAATGGTCCCACATTGTACATTTTGAAATAATCACTCTACAGCGATGGAGGTGCTATATAAATAGCCTTTGTTTCCCCTTTTCAAAGAATACTTCCCCCTGTGTATCATGGAGTGCACTGAATGTGTATGAATGAATAATGATTACATAACTTTCATGAGCACGTATCCAGTACTTCATCTCCGTGTATTTCAAAATTTGTTCTGCAATGACCTTTATCTGCTCATGCTCGGACTGCAACCGTGAACTGGCTTATATGCGCAATTACTCTGTTGCACTCAATTGCCATTCATCTACACGTGTTAATAAAAAGCAACATTTTTTTTGCGTTTCACCAAACCATATCTGACACCAGACCAACAAAAAAAGAATAAACAATTACATTACCACTATTAGCCAAGATTTTTTTTTCATCATGGGTTGGTAGTTTTGAGTTATTTGGGGGATATGCCTGGGGTATGGTGTATGCAATCCACAAATTGACTACTGAAATACTGTCAATTGAAACAGGTGACTGTATTAGTACATTACTAGTTGAAATTTATGCAAATGTAACATTAATTGAAACTTGTCATTTGTCATACATCTCTTTTATTGTTAATACTTCAATTTAAGAATATTAAAGATTCAAGTACCAATCTTCTTTTTATATCAACTTTTCTTTTTATTAGGTTTACATCTATGATTGCATTGAAGTTGTCCCTGAGCCTGGGCAACCCCTCACAAAGAACAAACTCAAGGTAAGATTCTATGAAATAAAAAGAATGCCCCCCCCCCCCCCACTCTGATCCCCTTTGTCTACTGAGAGTCAGAAGGGTGTTGACTTACAAAATGACATTTCTTTCATTTTTATACCCATTAGAAGTAATATTTGTTTATGTATTTGTGTATGATTTGATATCCAGAAATCAATACTTATGTAATATCAAATTTAATGTAAAATGATAATCTAAGCATATCTTGACATTTTCAATTCTACTCATTGTTCTGCATTTGTGAGATATATTTTTGACATGCAGAGCTTATTTGTTAGAGAGAGAAAAGTAAGAATATTTATAACCAGAAAAGAAATAATAACGATTTTAACATTCTATTGCAATCCAAACAGGTAGACAATTATTTAAATTTTCCCACATGTGATTATTGCATTCAAAATATGTGTGTTGTAGTTGAGATTGGTAATATATCTTTTCACATAATTCTTGCTTTGATTACGTATAGCCCTTGTATGAGAAGAGACAGAAGGGACCGGTATCCGCTCTTTGTGAGGTCATGGGGTTCCTTCTCACTTGCATTGGACAAAAGGTGGGTCTTCTCAACAAATTATATTCATTTAACAATTGAGGCTCATTCTCATTGCCCAGCTGTTTACCACAGTGGTGAACTGCTGAGCAAGATTAGTGTAATGCACTTCACATTTCAGTATTGTATATCAAACCGATAAGTTAGCTGGACCTTTTGTTGCATGCAGATACATTTTTTTTCTCATCCCTCTTGTCAATTCATTGAAGGAAAAAAAACACCACTGTAAAGTGTTGCAGTCTACAGCATTATATGTGAAAGAGCCTATAGAGGACCCAATAAGTTCCATTACATAAATATATTCCCTTTTCTTTTTAATTGGAAGAACAATAAGGAGGAGGAGGAGGAGAAAAGGAAAGAAGATGAAGAAGAAGAAGAAGAAGAAGGTGAAGAAGAAAAACCAGGAGGAGGAGCATAAGAAAAAGGAAATGGAAAAGAAAAAGAAGAAAGAGAAGGAGGAGGAAAAGAAGGAAAAGGAAAGAAGAAAAAGAAGGGAAAGAAGAAAAACTAGGAGGAGGATAAGAAAAAGGAAAAGAAAAACAAGAAAGAGAAGGAGAAGGAGAAGTAAATGGAAAAAGAAGAAAGAAGAAAGAGAAGGAGAAAGAGAAGAAGAAGGAACAAAAGAAAGAGGTGAAAGAGAAACAGAAGGAGGAGAAGAATTTTGTCAATGTTTCATATTTTCTTTATTCCTCCCTCTTTAGGTGTACATGTGGCAGTTCAAAGACAATGACCTGATAGGCCTGGCTTTCATCGACACCCAGATCTACATCCATAATGCTGTTAGCGTCAAGCAGTTTATTCTGATTACTGATGTGATGAAAGGAGCGTATTTCCTACAGTATCAGGCACAGGATAGAACACTCTCACTTGTTAGCAGGGTAAGAGTTTGGTCTGTTCTAGATGTAGATTAGGTCTAGGACTAGGTCTAGCCTAGGTAATGACTAGGCCTATTGGAGGTAAGGACTACATCTTTCCCAGAATAGGATCACATTAGGTCTATCCTAGATAAGGACTGATGATTATATAAGGTCAGAACAAGGTCTATCAAAGGAAAGGATAGGTCTCTCCTAAGAAAGGACTAGGTCTGTCCTACATGTAGGTTTGGACTCGGTTAGGACTAAGCAAAGAATTAGGAAAATCAAGCAGTAAGTCTCGTCTACAGGCACTGTATGCATGTGGTCTAGACTAGTAGCTGCTTAAAATGCAACCTCACTTTTGCAGACGTGAATTGTAGTAATTGAGATTTCCAGCAAACTGGATATGTTATTTGTATTTTTCTGTTTCATACAACCCTTTCACTGCTTGATAAACAATATGGAATTACCATTTCTCTTGAAATGCAGTACCATTATGAGAATGTAAGATCACCTTTAAAGATAAGCTTGAGTTATGGTAATGATAAAAGACATATTCTCACAAAATCCAACCCAACTCAAACTAAATATTCAAGATTACAAATAAATGACATGTGCCAAACGATTTTGGTAGAAAATGTATAGGGGCTGAGTAATGAGCAAAGAAAGATAAGGAAATCAAGGTAAGTAGGCCTGCCATGTGCTTATCACACAGTTCACTATGTGCAAATGAGAGTTGTGTTTTTTATTGAAGATTTTTTTTTTACTTTGTTTTTATTTTACTAGTTCAAACATCTATGCAGGATAAACAATCCAGAAGGAATTATAGCCAGGTTCTCTCGACATATGATGCCCAAACCAGACCTCAAAATTACCTTTAAACTTATAAACACTCTTCTTCTTTTCACAGGATGCGAGACCTCTGGAGATCTTTGGCTGTGAGTTCATGGTTGATGACAAACAGATGGCCTTCCTTGGTAAGTTTCTATCTTCATTTAACCTGACTAATCTTGAGAAAGTATTCTTATATTGGTCAGTTATTAATTTGATTCAATGCCTATCAATTTTCCAATTCCATATCTCTTTACTCTTAACTGTTATCAATTACCAATTGTTTAATGCTTTTGTTGAACATTATCCATACAGTCTAATTATCATTTGATGTAACGCTTAGTAGAGTTACTAATCATTTCAGTTACTGCATATTAGTTCTGGGTCCCGTAACTAAAAGCTTAGCAATTGATCGTACCATTGAATTTTATGATTGATTGCTCATAGTGGTCAATGCAATCCATCGCAAAAATCAAGCGTACAATCAATTGCTGAGATTTGTGTTACGTGGCCCAGGTCAGGTGAGAAATATCCTATGCCCCTTCAGTATCTCATTGTCTAAAGCTATTTTCAAATTTGTGTGAAGAGAAAGTTAGCATGTATATGGAATGCTATTCAGAAAAAGTGTAGCATTTTGATTTCCCAATTGGCTTTTAGCGGTTTTCTTTAGCTTCGTAAAGAAAATTTCTGTAGATTGCTGATGACAATTTTTGCATGTTCAGTGAACTTTAACTTCAAAAGTGCTTTTGTCCTTGGCAAGACAATTGATATACATTTGCCACACTCAACCCAGGTGATGTAAATGGGTACCGGGCAGGATAGAGCGCCATTATGGCAGCCGTGCTAAAGTTTTAGGGCAATAATCTCCCTCTGTGCCTCAGAATAGTTTACTACATTGATGGCGCATTACAAATGCTGAAGTATTATTTATTTCTGGCTACAATGTTTTTGTTTCTCTTTCTCAGTGTCTGATGCCGACAAGAACTTGATCGTGTTCCACTACCATCCCGAGGCCCCAGAGAGCCACGGGGGCGCCTACCTCCTCCGAAGGGGGGACATGAACATCGGCTCAGCGGTCAACACCTTCGTCAGGGTCCGATGCAGACTGACTGACCCCTCCACGGAGCAGGTCCTGTCGGGTCCTGTGCTCAGGAGGCAGGTTGTCTTCTTTGGTAGGGTTACAGTTCTTTCTTCTTACACCCCATAAACCATTAACAAAATAAAACTTCAGTGGTTTTTAACTTTTTGGCCATAAATTTCAATCAGTTTGTAATTATGAAAAATGAAAATCTGGACAATCAAATGCCAATTCATATTGTAAAACAAGTTTGAGTGACATGAAGGAAAGACAATGAATGGGAATCTCAAGTGATTGGTCCACAACGTCTTGCACCTTTTATGCTGGCCCAGCAATAACAAAGTCATCTGCCTAATAATTAACCCAGTATTGCTCCATCTAAGAACACTTTTCTGCTGACAGCCGTTAAAACTATTGCCCAAGGTGATCTCAAAACTATACTGTACTGTACTGTACTGCGCCCGAAGATGAAGAGGAGCTATAGTTTTAAACCCTGCCCCCCAAAATAAGCAGTCAATATTTGTTTTATATGCCGCATCCCCCATGTCAATTCTCAAAATTCAACAAAATATGCCTGTCGAAGTTTTTTAGCCTAATTGTAGAGTCTAGGAAAATTTACCTGTGTTAGAGCATCTCAAACATCTTACTGCACGTATCCATTGTTAACTTCACACGCAACTATTCTTACAAGGACCCCCATTTCTCCTTGTATCTACAGCCACTCTGGATGGTAGTCTTGGCCTTCTCCTGCCCATGGTTGAAAAGACGTACAGGAGATTGCTTATGTTGCAGAACGTCCTCACCAATGGTCTCCCGCATGTAGGGGGACTCAACCCCAAGTCTTACAGGTGAGAAATTGGTTTCCAGGGGGGCGTTTCACAAAACTTGTTATCAGTGACAAATGACAGGTTTTGTTATAAGCTACTGAAATCCTTGCTTCTGATTGGTTATCAGCAAATTTGTCACTGATTTTTGTCATTTGTCATTGAAAAAAGGCTTTGTAAAACGCCCCCCAGATCTCATGGTCACTTTTGTGCACATGTGTCAAGACCATGTCATTCAAGAATACCTCATGGTTTGTGTGCACAAACTATAAGAATTTGAAATTGCAGTAGAAATGTGAAGGCTTTTGTGGCTATTGTCTATTTGGAAAATAAAAAAATCAATTCCATTCTCTCTGTAATTAATTAGGAACTTATTGCAAAGCTCCATGTTTGTAAATATATTGCTTGTTAGAATGCAACATGAGTGGAGTATTCATACAACTGACGAAAATATAGTCAAACCTGTCTTAGTGACCACCTCTCTAAAAGGGTCACCTGTCTAGAGTGGTCACTTATATTGTCTCCTAAGGAGAAACATTTATTTTTTAGGTCGACAACTTCCGATTTTAAAGGCATTCTATTTCAAATTTTCGGAGAACCCTTACTTCTGTGACAGAAATTGAAGTAGCATATAATGACATTGATGATTTATTGTAGTCCATGGCTTATAGGCTTTTCTTTGATATATAATTCATCCACTTCATTTTTTACTTTGGATAGGGTCTTTAAAGCCTATCTGCACTAGTTTGGCCAGAAAGGTTTAGACCACCCTGCAAGGTCACTGGACAGGTGGTTATCTCATCAAATCAGCTCTCAAGTAACATAAGAAAAAGGGGATCATGGGGGACCAACAGGTACCGCTAAGGCATTGTTGGCTATATAGAGGATGCAAGTAGTGCAGTCCCGCTTTAAATACTCTTCATATTCACCTTCTCTTTTTTTCAGGCATGTCAAATCACACATGCGTAACCTTAACAACCCTCATCGCAACATCCTTGATGGGGACCTTCTCCTGAAGTACTGTCATCTCAGCGTGGTGGAGAGAAATGAGTTCGCCAAGAAGATAGGAACCAGTGTGGATCAGGCGAGTCCAAACAAAACGGTTTAGTCACATATTCAATTTATAGATAGATGTTCCTGAGGACCTAATGACAACTTATTTCATTAACCTGTTATTCATGAATGAAGTACAATACTCGGCATCCAGTCTACATACATTACTTGTTGCTATTGTCAAAAACAACCTTCGTTTCAAAAGCATGCATAAAGTAATATATTGGTAAACCGCTAAAGGATGGTCAGAAATTAGCTCAAGCAACATTTTCTGTTGTTTTTTATTTCTATTTATTAATTTATTCAATTATTTATTATTTGTTTGTGTGTTTGTTTTGTTTATTTTTGTTCTGATTAATTTTGTTGCAATGGTGGGTGGGTAGAGCAGAGTAAAAAAAGTTTGAAAGAGAGTGAGCCAAGAGTTACAGGAAGTATAACAGTTTAGTTGTGTACACTAACATGATGAGGATGAATTAATCAATTAGTTAATGACCTTTTAATATTTTCTTTTCTTTTCTTCCTCAGATTATAAGTGACTTGATGCTGGCTGAGAACCTGACCATGCACTTTTGAAGACTGAGCATGATGAACATACCACCTTTTCATGCATAGCTGGAAACCCTTCAGGCTTAAAGAATACCATGAATTGAAACACATTTTTAACTTTACCAAATGTTTTGGACATTCAAGAATGTACATTACAGTGTGGCAGATGTGAGAAGCCATTGTTATTTAATATTGTTGGGTACTTTTAAAGAAGAGTCAGGACGGGCATTGTAGAACACAATACCTACATTCAAGAATTATTAGTTTGTAAGACAGATGCTTCTAAAGAAAAGTTGGGTGGATATTCATTAATATAACGTCTTTTCATGTCCAAAGATTTTTTTCTGAAAAACAAAAAGCAAATGTTATGCCTTGTGGGCGATATGTGCAACACAATTCTAAATAAATTTAAATAGAGCTTGTTTGGTGAGTCGAAAATAGCAAGGTAATTTTTATGCCTCCGTTACGAAGTAGCCGGAGGCATTATGTTTTCGGGTTGTCCGTCCGTCCGTCCGTACGTCCCGTTCTTATGATCGCGTTATCTGAAGAACCGATCGATGGATTCCTGCCAAACTTTGGTCATGTATGTATCTTGCAGAGCCGATGAACTGATAAGATTTTGGGGTCACGAGGTCAAAGGTCAAAGGTCACAGGGCTCATTAGGTATGCAAAAACAGTTCGTGATCACGTTATCTGAAGAACCGATTGATGGATTCCTGCCAAGCTTTGGTCATGTATGTATCTTGCAGAGCCAATGAACTGATTAGATTTTGGGGTCATGAGGTTAAAGGTCAAAGGTCACAGGGCTCATTATGTATGCGTAAACAGCTTGTGATCGCGTTATCTCAAGAACCGATTGATGGATTGCTGCCAAACTTAGGTCATGTAGGTTACTTGCAGAGCCAATGAATTGATTAGATTTAGTGGTCATGAGGTCAAAGGTCAAAGGCCACAGCACACATTATGTATGCAAAAACAGCTTGTGATCGCGTTATCTCAAGAACCGATTGATGGATTCCTGCCAAAATTAGGTCATGTATGTTACTTGCAGAGCCAATGAACTGAGTAGATTCTTGGTTCATAAGGTCAAAGGTCAAAGATCATGGGCTCATTATGTATTCCAAAATAGCTTGTGAACGCATTCTCATTAGAACTGACAGATGGATTACTATTTAACTCAGGACATTTTGCAGAGCCAATGAACTGAGTAGATTTTAGGGTCATGAGGTCAAAGATCAAAGGGTCATATATGTATATGAGAAATTGCTTGTAATCACGATATTCTGAGAACCTGTCAATGGATTACAATTGAACTTGAATTCGAAAAATTTCTTCTGTTTTGGTTTGTAAAATTGCTCTATGACGGAGGCATCATTTTCGACTGCGCGCAGTCGAATTCCATCTAGTTTATTTCTAGAGTGCACTGCACATATTACGATTTGACTGTGACCCCATTTTGGAAGAATTAACAACAAAAATTAAAAGAAGGTGAGGCCAAGAAAATCTTTTACTACAGCAAATCCTGTTAGATCTTTATTCTCAGTGAAAAAACTAAAATTTCACTATTTGTTTTGGTCCTCACGACTACAAGGATTTACAAAAAAATACAACCTCTCACTTTTTAGTTATTTATTGATGTTTTTCTACAACTTCCGCACACTGTCGTCATAATCTAGACCAATCTAGACCAATTGCTTGTACGTAATCAGTCAATGTTGAATGTCTTATTTAATTGCAGAATATATTTACCATTGCTATTTCAAGTGTCGAGAAAATTGCGTATACAGCTATCATTTACATCCCAATACTAGAGTACACTCTCATCTTTTTAACCAGATAACTGCAGCATTAGTTACAACTTCTTATAGATTCTACACATTCAAACCCATCAAAATTTCAAACAGTTTTGTGAACAATTTCCCAATTGTGGGGAAGCTCTTTAAGGTAAACATTTGTTACTCCATAATATGAACTAGAGCACATGTTTGCTAGGTATGTGAAAAAAATAATATAATGATGCCGTTTAAGATATCGCATGTTTCAATGTACCAGTGATTATTAAAGATGTAAAGAGTATTGCCATCATGATCTGACTCCTCTTTCTGATGTTCACCATTGTTGCATGTTATGGTTACAAGTTATGTTACGTTTGTCTCCGAAATAATGTTGAAACAAAGTGGATGGGGGCTCGTGAGAAACATTTTCTTTGTCAAATGTATGTTTTGTTTCTTTGTTTTGTGTATATTTGTAAATATATCAGCACATCAAATTGTATCTCAACGAATGAGATTTGTCAATTTTTTAATAAATACAAACTTTTAAAGTACAACATTTGTGCCTTTGCTTTGTTTTATTGACTCTGTCAAAGAAAGTGATAATTTACAACTTAAGCAAATTCTGATTTTCTGTCTGAGATGCAGATGCAAACCTCATTATGCCTAGGTCACACCAAAACTTTTCCATTTTGATGTCAGTTCCTTTCTCGATTTTTGAAATGCATACATTTTCACCTTGCAATATTTCAATGTCACTTTGATACTGTCTCGATGTCAGTTTAATGTGTAGATAAAGTGGAAACGCAGCAGGAAATATAGAATTTTGAAAATGTCCAAAATTTTCTTGGGCCGTTGTGTTGTCGATCGTTTCCCCCAAAAGCTAGATCAATTTATCTTTGGATCCAATTCAAATCATACATTCCCAGATTTATGTCGACTCGTTTCGCCGTTCTTTACATCAAAATAGAAACGCATGGGCTCAATGCATTGGTGTGACCTAGGCATTAGAGAATCACAAGTGTTTCAACATTTGATGAGCATTAACTTCACTTGAATTTAAAGCACACTAGTTTCTTTTCTTTTCTGGAGTTTTGTGCCTTCTTCCATTTGTTACTGAGTACTATGTTGCATCACTTCCACTTTAAAACATACAAAAGATTTCAAAATTGTAATATACATGGTTAATGTCAAGAATATGTTCTTTCTTTATCATACATTGAACTTAAAGTTCAAACACCAATTCAGTGTACCGACAGTCGGACTAGTCACTGAATACGTTTCTTGTCTTGCATGCAGGACTACAAGTTTCAATCATCTTCTCTTCCAAAAAAAGACTTGTTTCTTTGCCACAATTTCTCACAACATTCACTTTGTACAATAATCTTTCCTTGTTAATGGAGATTCAAGGCTATTTCTTGGCTGCTTCTTCATGCACAAGTTCAAAGGTCATGTCAAACTGGAGTCCCATCATCATCAGACTGTGGTCCTTTCTCAGGGTTATCTTTCAAGATTCTTCCATCTGTAGGGACCAGATTAGGGATACCATTCTTGACCGGGTAAGCTACATTGATGGCATCACTGATTAGTTCATTGCTGTCAGCATCAAACCTACATCAAAAAATTCAAATAAAAGAAAAATATAAAGACTATGATACATAAAATCAAAAGATGTATAAAATTCTACTCAAACTTTCCCTGTCTGACTTGAGTTCTATCTTTGACAAGCTCTGCATTGAGGCTGAAGAGTGGTTAAATGTACATGTCTTAACAATTTGCATAACAGAATCATTATGAAAATATACTGGTATGTAGAAAAGGTAATAATGTAAATTAATTGGAGTAAACTATGTTATAGCTGTTTATTAGGTACAGGAAAAAAAGAGTTTGTCATCAATGGAATGCGTTGTCCTATGTGCGTGTCTATATTACATGAATGTGCATTGAGTTCAAACGTTTTAAAGTAAACCTGAAAGTTCAAACATTTTAGGATAAATCTTCAGATCTTGAGATCAAGATATTTGAAGTTTGGATCAAAACAAAACAAAACAATATCAATACACCATCCCCTCACATAAATGCCATGTCATGTGCCATGCTAATTTGCTAACATTAATATGCAACCTTATATGGCAGGTGAAATACCCATCTCAGAAAAGGTATACGGTATGGGCCATATTGGTTTATTGCATTTACAATCAAACTGAAAAAACAGCATTAAAAAAATACAAGATACCATTTGATTTTTTTGTAATAGTTATAACACATAGCACTGATATCATTATTGGACACGTTACAAGAGAGGGAATTCAGCCCCACTTTGCACGCAACTTTAACAAGTCAATAGAGACTAGGAGTAGGGCTAATAATAAGGCTAGCTAGTATAACAAAGCCCTATATAGTCTACATGTATGTATAATATTTTTTAATTGTGTTCTTGATGTTGTTGCAATTATTAGGTTAGGGGTGAGGCAAATTTAAATTGATTCTAGTTTCTTGCCCAGGGGGATATTTTTTTTGTCTAATGGAGACAACCGAGGGCTTAGGGTCTTTGCGTTTCTATCTGTTAAACATGCCATGCCTTGCAGTGGCCCGAGATTAGTGCCGCCCCCGCCCCTCACTACTACTACCACCAACCCCACCACCACCCTCAGTCCACGCAGCCACGGCCGGGCTCCTGCGCTAGCGACCGACCGTCTCCAAATCCAAGGCTTACCTCAATGGCTGTTTTGAGATCGGACATACAAGAATTTTGAGAAGATCTGTATCACTAGAATTGCTCTTCTCGGATCTAAGAGATACCATCGACGTTGACAATTGTCTGTAAGTATGATCTTTTGCTTTAAAGGCATTATAACGACAAAACAAGCTCACTCTCCAGCACACCGAAAAAACTCTCGTGGGCGCAGCCATTTTGGATGATTACGCAATATCACCGGGAATCGCATGCGTACGTATGCAAAGGCCATGCCAAAGCCGAAGAGTGCATGCATGTGCAGAGCTTAGAGCTCAAACAAAGTGACAGATTTTTGCTGTGTGACTTTTGAGCTGAGGCATTTAATTGTAAGTCGAAAGAAACCTTAGTTATTACAGCTACAGCCAGTGATGGATATGATTATAGAGGTCTAGATCTATACATAATATGTGTTCCAGTATAAAGTAAAGTGACCAGACTGTGCTGTGACTGAGCTGAGCTGAGTGAGTGTGATTCGTGTTTTGCAACTGCAACTGTAAATGTAAGTGTAATCACATGCATTTCTTTGGGTTTTTTTGTTGGCTTGTTGCTTTCTATTTATTAAACTAGATAGTAGTAAGGATTCATTTCACTCATTTATCACTGCGAAGTCTGTATAACTATAACTATAAATCATGGCTACCATGGCTACAGTACTGTTGGCTGATGAAATCAACGGCAGACCAGTGGTAAGAAATAAGAATATAAAACAGAAAACTGAGAAAATGAAAAAAAATGTTTTGTGTTTGACTTTACAGAATTCATGGAATATGAAGTCTATAAAGTCAGGCACAGATATCTGTAACCTGCAAAATGTTTCTCACATTATTATCCTATAGACCTAACCCTAGTCACATAATTCTTGTCAATTTAGAATATGAAATAAAAGAGATTTCAAGGGAAAAAGTTTTGTACATGCAAATGTTCTGCCAATTCAAAGATTGAATGATTATCAATGCTTATTTTATTTGTGTGAAATTCCTGCCGTCAAATAAGATTATGGTGGTAGATCAAATTCTAAGTTTGAAACTGAAAGTAAAACTTTTGATCGCAATAAAATAAAAATTATTGAAAACCGGCGTTACCTCCAAAATTTTAGCTGTTCAGCCACAGTGCTCATCAGTGAAATCCCACAAAATGGACACGTACAGTGTATGGTGCAGATTTAATTTTTCTGCTCATGCATCTAAAGACTATATTTTCAAGACTCTAGCTAGTTTGAATCAAATAATGTCACTGTCAGTGAGCCAAACTCGAAAAAGGTAGAAATGTGTACTTTATGGGATGTTGAACTCAACTTAAACAGATGTGATTTGTTATTTAAAATCAGGATAGCTCTTGAATGACTGGTAATCACAAAGAACATGGCTGCCGAGGAAATCCAAAAGGAGAGAAGAGAGGATGGGACGTCAATGTGGCTGTACAAGGGTCTTCCACCAGATGTAGGAGAGGATGAAACATTGGTGCAGGTAAAAATAAAAGGAATCATTCGATACGTATTGGATACATTAAAGGCACTATGTCCCATTTGCAGGTCACTCAAAGACAGTGAAGTCTAGCAAGTAAATGGTTTTCCTTACATAATTTGAATATTAGGACACTGCTAACGTTTAAATTTCACAGATAGGACATACATGACATATTCATAATTCCTGCAAAGTTCTACAGAATTGGATACTGGCTGCAAAAGGGACATAGTATCTTTAACCAGAGGTTTCTAATGAATATGTGGCCAGAGTCATCAGACAATCAAATATTGTGAGTTTTGATGTGGAAGGACATGATACTGCAGAGTCGCTTTAACTTACAAAACGCTATGATTTTTAAATTTTCACTGTATCGTGCTTTTGTGCCTCTGCAAAATAAGTAGACGTAGGCATGTTTTGGGGTTGTCCGTCCGTTTAGTATGTTTGTCCCTGTTCTCGCTAAGCGTTATCTCAAGAAATTTGGGTCATGTATGTATCTTGCAGAGCCAATGAACTGATTAATTTTGGGGGTCATGAGGTCAAAGATCAAAGGGTCATATATGATATGAAAAATAGCTTGTAATCATGATATTCTGAGAACATATAAATGGGTTACAATCAAACTTGAATTTTGAAAATTGCTGCTGTTTTGGTTTGTAAAATCCTTCTATGGTAGAGGCATCATTGTTGAAGATCCATCTGCCGGTAGTTATTCTCCCTTTTTGTTGAGGGGGAGCACTGTTCTGGCTAAGATGTCAGACGGGGTATTAAGACCAAAAGACAAAAAAAAAAAAAGTTAGGTGCTAGCAACTTCATATACGCCCAATGTGTTTTTTGTTTTTTTTGTATGGGAGAAATTACTTATGAATTAAAGCTTTTATCACATCACTTCATGACCATGAAAACAGAAGTAGTACTTATATGTATGCACATCTCACTTTCTTGGTTTTGCTTCTGTCAGTGCAATATTGGGAGAGTGTCCTGGAGATGTCTTGGGAGAATTTAGTAAGACTCTTAACATCTTTATTGATGCGAGTCTGAAAGATTCTCCCTACGACAAGAATGTGCTAGATTAATGACATCACACTACGTCCACGTCTGCGTGGATGGTGATGCCTGGGTGCCAGGGCCACCAGCAATTTGAAGATTTAGGCTGGACGGTAGTATGCACCTTGTACATTTATTACTTTTGAGGTTAAAGATAAACTTGAGTTCTGGTAAAAAAAAGAAAATGAATTCTCACAGAATCAAACAAAACTTACACTGAATGTTCAAGATTTCAAATAAATGTCATTTGCCAAACAATTTTGGTAGAAAATGTATACTGGCTGAGTATAATGAGCATAGAAAGATAAGGAAATCAAAGTAAGTAGCCCCAACACCATTTGTGTAGTTCCATATGCATTTTTCTGTGTACAGTGCTTGTTACTTTACCAAGACTAGGCCAAATTTATTATAATTTTGCTAACTCCAGAACCTTGCAGTACACATGAATACTTAAATGCTACATGATCAACTTTTTGTGATCCATTCCACACCTTTTCTTTCCCGATGCAATCGCATGACCAGAACTCAACTTTAAATAAAATAGTATGAACTTAGTTTGATATAAGTGATGCTGATATGGAAATCATGTTGATCTGAATAAGCCAATGTTGTCATACTGTGGAAATGTTTTTCTCTGTAATAATTTTTTTGTTTTTTTCATTTAAGAGAGGAGATTTGTGTTTGCTTTTCCTGTGGTCTGTAGGTTGGTTTCAAATATTGAAAAAAAGGTGTTGGCTAGTTATTGATGTTGTTGTTGTTGTTGTTGTTGTTGTAATACAATGGAACAAATGTATGCTGATATTTTAATATCCTCATTGAACTGTGGCTGAAAAATTTAAGGTATACCTTTTTACTTGATTAAAAATATTGTAAACGCTGTTATTTTCACGACCCCAAAACATATTCGCTGGTTCTTAAATTCGCGTGGCACGCAATTCAGCCCGTTCAAAGCACGCATAAGAAGTCATGCTTATAATATTTTCCAAGTTCTAAAATTTGTGCTTGCCAATTTTAGCGCAAAATCCGCAAAAATTAATGTACCGCAAATATTTCTACTTTTACAGTAAATGCCCATTCTAAATAAATGTTAATGTGCAATAATTAATGATTAATTGATTTTTTGATTCATTTCTTGTGTCATTTTAATTGCAACTTTAGAGTACAAGTAACCCCCAGAAATTCATCTCCAGCTTCATGAAGCGGCACACTCCTGAGAATCGCAGCTCCGAGGTGCAGCGAATCTTGAAGCACCAAGATGTGATCATGGATGGCATCAAGAAGAAGAAGAAGAAGCAGAAAGGAAAGAAAGGAGGCGTGAAGGAAGGGCGAGGGGGCATTCCACAGGGGAGAGGGAAGAAGAGACTGAGCTATAGGGAGAAAAGAAAGCTGAAGCTGTTTGATATTCCTGAAGATCAGCAAAGGTGAGGACAAGTAGTGTTTTTTGACAAACACATATATGATCACTCCAATATCATGATATCAGCTTATCATTCGTGCTGCACCTTATGGAAGCTCTTCAGTCAAATCTTGGAGGTCTGGGCCCCATTTCACAAAACTTGTCAAATGACAGGGTTTTTTTTAAGCTAGTGAAATTCTTGCTTCTGATTGGTTATCAGCAGATTTGCCGCTGAGTTTTGTCATTTGTCAAAAGGCTTTGTGAAATGGGTCCCTGATGTTAAAGTTACATTTGTTGTTTCCAATACACTGAATTTACAATCCACAGCGCCATCTAGCAATACCAGTGTTCAGTAAATTTCATGTGCTGCATTATGGATAAAAGTCAACAAAAATATTAGCTGTTCCATTGTTATATACCCTAGGAGATGAGGAGATTTTATCATAATTTTGGTGGGGAAGGTATCGATAGCTTATCTGGGTGAGATTTCCCAAAACATCAGTCTCATTGACTCTACTCACAATGTTTTGGTCATTTTGATCGGTGGCTAGCATTTTGCTGTGCTGCATGGGTTGTAAGATTGGCCTGCCGCGCAAGACTGCCGCGGCCCGCGGTGGGTTCGCTGTTAATTGTGAATCCACTCTATTTCAGACAATGGTATGCAGAAAATACTTTTCACGCACATCTCGTATGTGCCATCAAGTCTATGTAGTATGGACCGGTTGACTGTAATTTCACTCTACTGTCCTACGTGATGACTACATTTCTGTAGAAGCGATAGAATCTCATAAACCAATGGGTATCTCAGCAAAGTTAAATGTTTGCGGCCTGTAACCTGGGGCAACAGGCATCTTTTTAAAACTATTCACCGGTAGGCGGGCATGGCTAAAATCACGACTCCAATTTCGACCAATCAGATGACTAGATTTATTCAACATACTAAAGAGAGGTATATAATATTTCTTAGCATTATTGATTATTGATAAGAGGTTTTGTGATGTTTTATCTTTAGATATGAGCTGTTTGAGCCTCTCCACCAGCTGTGGCTAGACTACATGAGAGAAGCAGTGTTAGCCCACAACCCAGAAATGAAGTAAGTCATTTTAAAAATAAGTTAATGTCCCTCTGCACTAGTTTGACCAGGAGGATTAGACCTCCCAGGTGGTCACTGACAGGTGGTTATCTCATCAAATCAGCTCTCAATTAACATAAGAAAAAGAGGATCGTGGGGGAACAACGGGCACCGCTTAGACATTTTTATGCCTCCGTTACGAAGTAGCCGGAGGCATTATGTTTTCGGGTTGTCCGTCCGTCCGTCCGTCTGTACGTACGTACGTCTGTACGTACGTACGTACGTACGTCCCGTTCTCGTGATCGCGTTATCTGAAGAACCGATTGATGGATTCCTGCCAAACTTTGGTCATGTATGTATCTTGCAGAGCCGATGAACTGATTAGATTTTGGGGTTACGAGGTCAAAGGTCAAAGGTCACAGGGCTCATTATGTATGCAAAAACAGCTCGTGATCGCGTTATCTGAAGAACCGATTGATGGATTCCTGCCAAACTTTGGTCATGTATGTATCTTGCAGAGTCAAAGAACTGATTAGATTTTGGGGTCATGAGGTTAAAGGTCAAAGGTCACAGGGCTCATTATGTATGCAAAAACAGCTCGTGATCGCGTTATCTCAAGAACCGAGTGATGGATTGCTGCCAAACTTAGGTCATGTATGTTACTTGCAGAACCGATGAAGTGATTAGATTTTGGGGTCATGAGGTCAAAGGTCAAAGGCCACAGCGCACATTATGTATGCAAAAACAGCTCGTGATTGCGTTATCTCAAGAACCGATTGATCGATTGCTGCTAAACTTAGGTCATGTATGTTACTTGCAGAGCAGATGAACTGATTAAATTTTGGGGTCACGAGGTCAAAGGTCAAAGGCCACAGCGCACATTATGTATGCAAAAACAGCTCGTGATTGCGTTATCTCTAGAACCGATTGATCGATTGCTGCTAAACTTAGGTCATGTATGTTACTTGCAGAGCAGATGAACTGATTAAATTTTGGGGTCACGAGGTCAAAGGCCAAAGGCCACAACGCACATTGTGTATGCAAAAACAGCTCGTGATCGCGTACTCAAGAACCGATTGATGGATTCCTGCCAAAATTAGGTCATGTATGTTACTTGCAGAGCCAATGAACTGAGTAGATTCTTGGTTCATAAGGTCAAAGGTCAAAGGTCATGGGCTCATTATGTATGCAGAAATAGCTTGTGAACACATTCTCATTAGAACTGACAGATGGATTACTATTTAACTCAGGACATCTTGCAGAGCCAATGAACTGAGTAGATTTTAGGGTCATGAGGTCAAAGATCAAAGGGTCATATATGTATATGAGAAATTGCTTGTAATCACGATATTCTGAGAACCTGTTCATGGATTACAATTGAACTTGAATTCGAAAAATGTGTTCTGTTTTGGTTTGTAAAATTGCTCTATGACGGAGGCATCATTTTCGACTGCGCGCAGTCGAATTCCATCTAGTTTTCTATATAGATAGAGCAAGTAGCTAAAGAAGTGCAGTGGGGCTTTAAAGGGCAGCCCTACCTTTGTTATAAGTTAATTTGTATGAAAACAGAATGGCAAAAGTTTGAAATATTAATTAAACAATTATGAATGTTTGAAATATGAGATCATTAAATCTGTGGAATCTCAAATTAGCAGTTTGGTAAGTGGATTATGACATAGTCACGGACAACTCTCCCGTTTGTCAGGTGTGTTCTGATTTCTTCTCAGTGCCTTCTCCCATGGGGCACTACTCAAAATATATTATTGACAGCAAAGTCACAGCATACTATTATAGGTTCTGGAAAGAAAAGACTCTCCGAACGTTTCATTCTTTTTGTGCGTTGGAACCAATGGGACAATTGTCCGGCACTACATCACCGTGACATTAACGATTCGGCCAATTTGCCTATTACAATACATATACCGGTAGTGATTACAACTTTCAAAAGGTCATAAGTTTCATATTTTGTCCAATTCCATTGAAACTTTCACCAGTCTGCTTCTCTGATATTTCCCCCTCCTTTTAGAGTACTTTTCTCTAAGGGTTTCCCTTTTCTTTTAACGTTTACATTGTGACATCCACTTTTGAGCACTTATACGTTTAACTGAAACCACGTGGAGAGTACTGTACAAGTCTTCTAAATGTATATATATTTTTGTTGTTTTATAGTCCATTAATCCTTTTTAGAATCGTGAAGGTACGTGAGTTTTTAAGATAGTGGATGAAGTTTTCATGAATGTATATCATGAAATACAGTAAAGAATATTTTTTTAAGAATCTTGCAAAATGATAATCTCTTAGTTAGAAGTGATGCTCCTTTTGCAGGACAAAGAATGTCAGTTTATGTCTGAAACAATTGTCAATTGGTGTGATTACATATAAGTGCATTGTTCCTTTTTGGTTTCCCGATGTTTCATGTTATGTTAATTACAAACAAATTGTTGATTATGTAATATTGTAATGTACTTTAATCTTCAATTTATTCATTTAATTGTATTTCGTTTTTGAATGTATTGTTTGTTTGTATAATTACTTGTTCAAATTTATTTGTTAAATATGGAAATAAATTACTTGTTCAAATTTATTTGTGAAATATGGAAATAAATTCAAATTCAAATCAAATCATATAAATTGTGTCTTTCTCACTACAGGAATAAGAACATGCTGGAGTCAAGGTTGCTGAAATGTGAGCTTCATGGATGTATTTTGACAGGTAAGCAGAACCTGAAGAGGTTTAAGACAGATGGAAGGGAGGTGTGGGGGGGGGGGTGAGAGGAAAGTCAAGAGGGAGACAAACAGACATACAGTGAGAAAGATAAAGTAGAGAGAGGGAGTGAGGAATAAATGTAGTTAAGACATAAAGAGAGAGAGACTGTAGGAAAAAGGCTAAAAATAAGAGAGAAGGCTGTAAAGACACTGTTCTGAGGGCCCTGCATTTATCACCGCTGTTGCTAGGTACCTGTTACACCTTGGTGAAAATATGGATTAATATCTTACCCATGGATGTAAGTGCCAGCCTGGGGTTTGAACCCTAAACCCTAGGATTGAGAGTCAAGTGAATAAACCACTACCCAGTATATCACTACACTTCCACTTAATGACTGATGGCTAGGGAGATACAGATAAAAAATCAGTATACACAGTATAATGTAACTGAAAGTAATGTTCTCTTATCCAAATTTTTCACAGTCACTCGCTCCAAGTGTCCAGCCTATGTGGGCATATCAGGTATCCTACTCCAAGAAACCAGAAATACATTCAAGGTTATCACCAAGGAAAACAAAATGAAAAGTGAGTGTTAGTTGTACTTTTATTGATTTTTGTCTCTGAATGTCTTTTTATTACCTTTTTATTTTGTGTTTCTGTTTTTAGCTTTATGTGTATATATATTGGGTCTGCCTGCCTAAACAGACCAATGAGACTGGGGGTGTTTCATAAAGCTGTGCGTAAAGTTATGAATGACTTTACAAATGATTTGAATATGAAGAGCCAAATGGAAAGTTTTTTCTGACATTTTATCAAAGTGTGACTGTATTTTCCATAATCTCAATTAAATTGTAGCCAAAAATACACTTTGCATTAAAATGTTTTGTTAATAATGATAAGGTTAATCTACATCTGCATATTTCAACTTTAAGCTTATGCAATTAAAAGGATTTGAGAATCCCATTTGACTCTTCATATTCGAGTCATTTGTAAAGTCATGCGTAACTTTACACACAGCTTTATGAAATGCCCCCCAGGCGGGTCATTTCAAATGTGTAGTCACTATTACACTAAAGTTATAATCAAATAGATAGTCAACAAAGAACCTCTCAGGAGCTTTCGACTCTTGTAACAATCTAAATCATAAATGGCCAAGTCTGAGTACATTTTTTTCCTTATTAAAGTGTCCAGGGAGATGGTTGTCCTGGGCCAGGTCTTATAAACATTTGCGATTAATCGTAACTTATTTGCCATTGATATCAATCGAACCTGTGTACATAAAAGATAGGAGACAGCAAACTTGCGATTGATTGGAGGACTTGTGATTAATTTGGATCAACCGTAACTCTTTATAAGACAGGGCCCAGGGGGGGTGTTTCACAAAGATCCTAAGTTGAACTTATCTCTTAAGTTGGACTTAAAAATTATGGAAAGCCATTAGCATCATTGAAAATATTTGTAAAAATTATTTCTAAAGGCATAAAATGTTTATTCAAATCTTTCATATTTTCTATTATCATGGGAGATTTCATGTTCTTGATGTGGAATTTATAAAAAGTCTAAAATACTTGAATTTTTGCTTATGAATATATTTTATTTTAAGACTACAAATGGCTCTCCATACTTTTTAAGTCCAACTTTGAATTAAGTTCTACTTAGGATCTTTGTGAAACACCCCCCAGGAGTCAATGTAATAGTAGCAGGGGTTGTTACACCTACGGTATACACAATTTTAATCCAGGCTTTCATGTTCTTTCTTGCAGCTATACCAAAGAGTCAATGCTGGTTCATGTTCACAATCGACCAATACGCAATCACCATCTACGGCCAGCACTTCTGCCAGAGAAGCAGCATGCGAGCTGCAAAGAAATTCAAGGCCAAAACTACCATCGAGTTATGACAGCGGAGATTCTACATCTGACTTTTAAAGACTATCATTTGGACCTTAAAGCCCCACTGCATTACTTTATAGCTACTTGCGCCCTCTATATAGCAAACAATGCCTAAGCGGTGACCATTGGTCCCCCATGATCCCCTTTTTCTTATGGCAACTGAGAGCTGATTTGATGAGATAACCACCTGTCAGAAACCATGCAGTGAGGTCTATATATTTATAGATATCTGTTATTTTTCATGGATTCGTTGTACCTGATGGACCTATCTGCAGGATAAAAAACAGTCATGAATTTGGTTCAAATTAACATATTGGAAACATATGCGTTCCTACAATATCCATTGATCATTGTCGCGATTTAAATCGAGTCTAAATTTATGAAATTATAAATAATAAACTTGTTATGTTGTATAGCTCCCTCTCAAGGTCAAGATATTAATTTAGCTATGAAACAATGTTCCTTGACTAAAATCGACCGATAAGCTATTCCCGTTTGGTACATATTCTGAGATTTTCATGGTCGCAGCTACCATTGTACGGCCATAGGCACTATTTGAAATTTATCAAAATGTACCGGGAGCACCGGTAAATTTTTATATTCAATTTTTCTCGAAAACAGAAGTGTTTTACGGGCTAATTTTTTTAGTGCTTCTAATACATCCATAGGGGCATCCAAATATATCAAAATTGTAAAGATTCACTATCCACCCAATTTTCGAAATTTCCCAAAACTTTGTATTACCTTTAAGATATCCTGATATACCGAAAATGCTGATATGGTATAATTATGGCCCCACATTTGTATAGAATGATTGAATATTGAAGGCTGGCTAAAAGGCATCAGCTAGGAAATTCTCAATCTGCTAAACTATACAGTCAACTTCACTAGCGATCCTCTGCCAGGCTCACAAATGGGTCTGATATCAAGTTTGGTGATTGATACGTGCCATTATATGGGCGATCCTCAGGTAAAGTCATTTTAGTGCCTTGTTACCTCTTACAACTCCATTTGTATTATCTTTTTTTCCTTCTCATCAAATGAAGGATATACATTTAATTGGACTTTTTCGTAATGTAATCTAATTTAATGCACAAATCTTTGTGAAGTGCCTCGTTCACAAAATTCTTCCATTCACCTATTATGAATAATTGTATTTCAATTATCATAATGTGAATTGCATACATTATGTGTTGTTAAGTAGGACAAGCCATAGTGTTTGTCATACCTAGCAAAATAACTAATGCAATTCGCAATCTGACTCTAGAAAATTAATACAATTATTTGTGACAGGTGAATGAAGTAATTTATAACAAGGCTCTTCACAAACATTTGTGTATGTTAAGAAGTTATGACATGTAGCATGAACAGCATCATATTGTATTTGTAATACATTTAGTAAAAAAAGTCCAGCTTTTTACAAGCAATATATGGGTGGTGAAAATAGCATGGAATTTGTTTGAAATTACCATCTTCTTAAAAATCAAAATTTAGTTTCGCCTTTTCTTAAATACTTCTGAATTTCAGGGGTAATTTTATTCTGAATTCTGACAAAATTGATAAACGATGCAGCTACGGGTACTTGAAAAGTGAGCTCTATTGCTTATCAGTTTGTCTTTATAGTATGTCAGACTGTCGAGCCCTATTTATATTCATGTATAAGAATATGTCCTCATGAAGAAGAAAAAAGAGCAATTATTTTTTCCAAATTTCCTTTCCTCCCCATGCATTATCTACCGGTAACTTTTTTCTTCACTTGAGAATTATGTGTTCTCTCCTTGCTATCCCCCTCTCCCTATCTTTGTTCAAAATTTGTATATTAGGTGTTATGTTTTTCTCTGTAGTAAACAAAAATTGAACTGATAGACAAGTGTACTGTAAAGTCTGATCCATTGATGTATAATTATTGCTGTTTGCATTGCTGTATGTATATTGTATATTTATTTATGAAAATTAATCAATAAATAAGAAAACATAAGAAAACAAAACAAAAAGTGTTGTGTGACATCCATATGTTTATTCCTATGAAAAAATCAATGTGTATATGTATAACATAAGCTATTCATAACACTGTACGTGTGATTTATATTTGCAAGAACTGAAATTATGTGAGGGGGGGGGCAGAGGTTCTACATACTAAATCTATCAGAATAATCCATATGAAGTATGAGGCAGTGCAGACAATATAGCTGGCAGGCTATTAAATCTCTTATTTCTTGTCATTAATTATAATTTGACTGTCGACCCAATTTTAATTTTGCTCTCACTCAAGATGATGATAAACTACAGCCAGAATGTTCAGAACTTCACAATCTTTTATACCAATATCTCCATAATTGTTCCTGCAAATGATATAGTTTGGTTTACATGTAATATGTTTAGTGAGGTTTTGCATTTTACAGGAATTCAAATTCCACTTGAATGGTATTTCATGCTTTTCACTTTAAAGCTCATGCAATTTTATCAGGTGTTATAAATGTTGAATTTAACATTTTATTGAATTTTCCTACTCTCAAACTATTCATGGTTATTATTATTGTATTCTCATTTTTGTTTTCAATTATTTTATTATTATTAGACCCTACATGTTTTATTATAATTATAATTTTAAAAATAGAAGAAAAGAAAAACTAAAAATTCTGTTCCCTTTCTCTATCTCTCACTCTCTCTAAAAATTATAATACAGTGTTCACTTTCTCTCATGCTCTCGCTTTCCCCATCCCCTTCTCTCTCTCTCTCTCTCTCTCTCTCTCTCTCTCTCTCTCTCTCTCTCTCTCTCTCTCTCTCGCTCTCTCTCTCTCTCTCTCTCTCTCTTTAGATATTTATGTATAAACATATATATTTTTCTCTCTGCTCCCCGTCTAGACTGTTAAATAGTATTAATTAAACTTGCAAAATGCTATAGAAAATGACAGAGGCACAACATTCTGTTGTAGGCTCACATTTTATTCAAGAGGCTTTGATGTGCATGCATTCAAAGTTTGAAGGCGCAGGGTAGTAAAAGTTGGATATGCTTTCAAAAGAAAGCCACAAAAGACGGGGGCACAAAAATGTGTAGGCGTTGGTGCACATAATTTAAGAGGCGTATGCATTTAAACGTCATGTTCATGATTGTATTGAAACCAGGAAACGCTCTTTTAAATGAGGGTGTGCTTTCACTTGAATAGAGCTGAATTATACCCACCCCCCCCCCCCTCCTCCCCCTGCCCTTCCTTTCAGCTTCAACTACATGTTTGCTGTAGCACATTAAAGGTGAAATCTAGCATAAAGCACAGGCCAGAATGCTGCATGATTCGAAGAAAGATTTTTTTTTATGTGTCTGTGTAATACAGAGAGGAATGACCACGATAGGCCGGGAATATACTTCAAATAAATTGAAATCTAACAAACACGCACTTTTGACACATTTATCTGACATAAAATATTTTATATTATAGCGCATACAAATTATTACATACATTTCGATGCACTTGTATCATACACAATAACATATACATACTATAAAATACATTTTTAATTATAGGCCATCATAATAATGGTTAATAAGGATAACGAATAATAACGATACTAACATGATAAAATCACTTTACAAGGAATCACATTGCAATTTAGAATGATACTACAATAATAATACGGCTAAAATAATACTATACCGAAAATGTATTAATTAGCTTGGCGTACGATATGTATGAGAAACTGAAATTAATCTGCAGCTGCATGGCTTCAATGAATCACGTAGTACAGAGAGAAGGAGAAGGGAGGAACTTGAATCTAGAGCTTTGGTGCGACTGAAAAGACATAATGATTTGTATAATTATGATGATAAGAATAACCATTAACAATATTCAAGAGACATTCTTACTTTTTGGTTAAAATTGACAAATTTGCACCACATTATTCAACAAAGATTATGTTTTGTTTTGTTTTTTGTTTTTTGTTTAAACGAATTTGGGCGAAATAACAACACAAACAGAAGAATTCATCGGTGAAAGGTTGAGGTAATATATAGAAACTTCTTATCGTATATAAGCCAGCTGCAGATTGAGTTAAGTCATCATAAGTGATTTCCTTGCAACAAATTCACACAAGGTTCGCAAATTCCCCCCATTTTTTTGTTTTATTTTCATATCTCTTAACATCTCCCCAAAATTCATTCATCGTCACCTAACAAGAGGAATGACGCTTCCACAAACTTTTAAATTGTTCAACAACAACAACATTTCCGAATAAATTGTATTTTTCTTACAAACTAAAATCATTGGATTAGAAAATATGTTCTAATGTTTTGCCAACGCGAAGTTGTAAACTTATTTTTTTGTAAACGTTGACAAAAAAGTAATTAAAAAAAAACGAGTTGCTATGCACTTAATAATTATGCTATCATCTTTGCAAAGCATTTTTTTTTTGCAACTTCACAGAACTATTTATTTCAAAGCTTTTCCCCTTTTAGTCGAATCAACTCTTTGTGAGCATGTTGCTATTGACTACCCCCTTTAAGTACGGATCAAGTTTAACGGATTTGAATAACAATAAACCCTTTGAAAATCGCTGGTCTTTTGTGCTTCTTACATTGAGCAGACGACAGTGCGGGGATAAATTTGGGCGGGAAGATTCGAATTATATATTGGCTCATAATAGGGGAAGCTTGCTAGCCAATGTTATCGATTGGTTGCACTGCATCTTCAATGTGGACAATAACCAACGCCTCGTAAATCACCCCTATTATCCGTCCCAAAAGTGAAAAGAAAGGAGTAATTTGCAGGGCATATTGGTAAGCTTTAAACGAATTCCATAGCACTGAAAATAACAACATGCACTCTTCACGAAACAAAAGCCATATGCCTGTATAGAGTTCACCCTTCTGCTTCAACTGCTGATCAGTTGGAACAAGTAATGTTCTTATTACACTGCAGAGCTCAAGTTTGAATGCAACGATTCCCTCAATATTCTAACTATTAAATGGAGGCCTTTGGAGGGTAAAAGTTCTGAGTGTTTATCTTCTTGTATAACGTGAATTCATCTACCCTCCATATAATGATAATAATAATAATATAATATTTATATAGCGCATTTTCATTATTTTGATACGAAGCGCATAAACAAGAAGTACTTACATAGAGGGAACATTATCATTAAGTATTACTAACACATCGTGAACTGCACTCAAGGGACGGTTTAGTTTACAATACCGACTGACTGTAATTATTTACAGACCTTATGATATACAGTGCGTCCCACGAAAAAACGAAACCAAGAATTATCGATGTTTTATCATACCTTAATCTGACTTATATTTAATAAATGGCACATTATTTGTCAAGCTTAGATCCTCTTCTTTCATTTGATGCGACTCATAATTATGATGCATATTTTTAAGCATGGGTGATTAAAATCAATTTGAAGAGAGGGAACTAAAAAGTCATTTGGCGGGCAGTATTTGAATTTCAAAGGGAAAACCACATTTCTAGAAAGATCACTTTTGGCCCTTCCATATGACAATGATGCTCTATCAGGAATGAGCTAGGAATAACAAAGTTCTTTTTGTTTAAAGTGATGCTTGCATTTTCATAATTTTATTAAATGAATTCGTTTTCACTGGCTGCCCGCCGTAGCAACAAACGGAATAGGACCAGCTGTTTCAAATTCCATGATAAGGTGATTGCGTTTTGAGAGTGAAAGTTTTATTACTTTGTCAAAACATTATACCCATAAAAAACTAGTGCTTTCCTGAGGCCGCCCATGGCGACTTAATTGGTCAACAATGCTTGGATACCCCTTTAACAAAATAGAAGGAGGGAAAAGGAAAAGAGAAAGAAAACTAAGTAGATGAAAGGAGGTGCAAGTGTTTTCAGTTTAATTGTTTTTCTTTTTTTGACTTGCCCTAGTGTTTTTTTAATGGGGGGGGGGGGGTGGGGTCGAACCGAGTCGACGAATTATTTTATACAGCCCTAATGTTGCAACTGAGAATAATTTGTGTCCTGTTTGGTATTTGTTTTACACTAGCTTAGGCGCACCGTGCTTGTCGACTGAATTTTGAATTTGTTATTTTAATTTTTATTGAAATTTTTTCGTTGAAATTTGTCAATAGATTGTAAGATTGTAAGATTTTATTGACTCTATCGACCCCCTCTCAGGGCGGTATGAGAGAACAAAGTTAACATAACATAGTATCAATATAACCAAAGTATAACAATGATAAACATAAAATGACAATATGAACAATGATAAACATAAAATGATAATATGAACAATGATAAACATGTGATAATATGAACAAATAAACATATTCACAAATCAAGGCGAACTGGGCAATTCGAATAGTTTAATCAGAAGTATAACAAATTAATATATTACGATTTTGAAACATATCGGATTACATTAGCAACAAAACTATATATTCTCATCTGTCTGTTACTACTTTGGGATAATACCAGGCTTGTAACTTTTCTTTCCTCATTGTGTGGATAAGAGTAATAAGTCATATTGGAGTAGAATAAGTTTTAGCCACTGCAGAAAAAAACAATACTATTTTCAGTTTACCGTTTGTTTCCAAACATCTATCACGCCGAATAGATTCCGGAAAATGCCGAGATATTCATTTTGGGTAATTTGATTGATACGATTGGACAATTTTTAACACGTGACCTCGTAATCGTGAAATAAAGAGCCGTTGTAGCGTTGGCGCGTAGCGTTCCTTCAGTGTAATTTCTGCATCTACTCTATACGTACAGCAAAAATCAAAATGGTGAGTGCCGATGACTGTTAAAATCCTTCATGTTTGACCGCAATATGTTGTAATCCTTCTGTATTTTTTACTTATTTTGAATAATGAAATTTCGAATAATGCATGTACCTATTTATTTATATTTTAATAGTTGATGCTTATCTATAATTTTATTTTGTTTATAGGCTGGAGGAAAAGCTGGTAAAGACTCTGGAAAGGCAAAGGCGAAGGCCGTCTCTCGATCAGCCAGGGCAGGTCTGCAGGTAAGCTTCCGTTCTTCTAAATGTTTGTTGTCAACGACAATTTTGAGCTTTAAATTATTTCATACTGTTTTTGCAGGCGGTCAGCGAATAAGTGTTTACACTGCATTAATTAACATTTATTTTCCGCTCTTTTTGCAGTTCCCAGTCGGTCGTATTCACAGACATTTGAAGAACAGAACGACGAGCCATGGCCGTGTCGGTGCCACAGCCGCTGTATACTCTGCCGCTATTTTGGAATACCTCACAGCTGAAGTAAGTAGGAGTGGTTTTCTTTCCTTCTTTTGAGCCTTTCATAATTTTGTTTGTAATATGGGGATACATGTATGATGTAGTTATACTTGTGTGTATAAATGCTGTAAGCTGCAATTCTTGTGTATTCATAGACATTTCTAATTGACACAATGAATTGGGTCATAATTTTGAGAATCCAATGATCCAAATTTAGAGCCGGTGTTTTCCCGCGCTTATGAAGTGCGCGCGTTTGATTGGAAGTGATGAGTTGGATGACTATTTCTGATTCTAGATACTGAGTAACTGTTTTGAAGTTGAAGTTGTTATCCCTTTCAATCGACAGCAGTGAGCACTTTAAATTAGTTTGTATTTGTTGAAAGTTGTTACGATCTAAATTTTGAACCAGTTTCACTTCAACTTAAGCAAAGTTATGTCAGTTGTTTTGTTAATTTCCTTTCTCAATAAAATAAAATCTTCAAGTTTTAAATTCATGTTGATTGATTCATTTTGCAATTAGCAATCATTCTCCTTCCTTTGATCTGGATCTATATTTTTTTTCTCTTCATTTTGTTCAATTTATTTAAAATTTTATTTTTTGTCGCTGTTTCAGTTAAATCAGTGTTTGTTTTGTTTACAATCGAACCTTTTTTCACTTGTCTTTGCATGACTTCACGAGATCTTCTTGAGGGTATTCTAAACGACCCATTTTAAACACATGTTATTGGCAAGGGTTCATTACATTTTATTTCATTTAGACTCTGATCTAGAGGTCATATTAGATCTACGTTTCATTTTTTGGTTGCGTTGCCTCTATTGTAATGTTTTTTTGTTCTTCATCGATATTCTTTTGTGCGCTGTGCTAAACATGGGCAAAAATATTTTTTTTAGGGTCTAGAAGTCTCGGTCAGGTGTATGAAGGGGTGACCAAAGTTTGCGGACATTTTATTATTACAAAATTTGATATTGGATCTAAGATTTCTCATTCTACACATATTTATTTATTTCAATTATTACCAAATGGACGGCAAAGTTTTTTACAACAAATTGGTTCAACTAAAAAAAATATTGTCGAAGGATTTCAGAGATATCGCGATCTAAAAATTTGATGTAGTCTACGATCAAGAGTGCACTCTGCATCTAAAAAATTCTTTAAAAACGAGACCTAACTTCATGCGAGGGGGTTTACAGCCAATTTATATAAAAATGTGATCCATCAAAATAATATACAAATAACGCACGGCCCAGAGTGCAATAGCAATGAATGCAGTACACGCAAGGTTTCTTAAGATTGGTGCCGCTCTGTGCAACGAGCCGCTTGCGGCGAGTTGACAGTGAGCACCATCTAAAGAAACGACCGAGCGTACACTACATCATACATGCCAACTGTTCAGATTAAAGAGGAACATTCCTCTTTTTGGGAGAAGATAATTATCATTTTAATGCAGGTGTTCCTCTTCCTGTACAAATTTGTCTGTAGTATTGAATAGGAGAGTTAGGATTGTTCCTCTTTTTTAAAAAAATAGCATAATTTGTACAGATTTCTGATTTTCAAATGTTGGCATGTATGCTGCATTTAGGTTTCGCACAACAAGGTCAATTGCGTTATTTGTTTTAAGAAATAGCAACACAAATGCAAAACAAACTAAAGTTTAGATCTTAAGTATTAAGTTGAGAGTCTACGAAAGTTAGATCTAGAGTATGTTGGTTCTAGACTAGTAAGACTAGAGTAAGACCTTGCAGGCTTACCAAAAAGTTCATGGGATTCAGTGCCTTGAGTATAAAATAAAATCCATAGGGGGGTCTAGAGACGAGTCTACATCAGACAGCTGAAATTCCTGGCTTCATTATAAAATCCCAAAGTCAAAACATGCCTAAATCCAAGGCAAAATAAAGTAAAATAAAATTTGCTTTCTAATAATACCCCGGCCCGCTCTATATAGCTAAGCTACGCGTACGCGCGCTGCGCTACGATTACAATGCACTCAGAAAAGGGGCGTACTACACGTACGCGTGCGCGCTGGATATCCATGGTAACGTGTATTATAACTTTTTCGCGCTTTTTTCTGAAAAATCATGCTTGCATCAAAAATTTGTACATGTCATGTGACGCGTATTGACCAATCACGATGCTTAAAATACTAGAGCCATTTAATAAAGGTACAATATCATAATTTGCAAGGCAAGATATCATACAAACTGTCTGTACCACTTTTTACTTACAATTTTGAGGATATCTGCTGTCAAAATGAAGATTTCCAGACCCTTGGCCTTACCGGTATTAAGTTAGTAATTGAACAGAGTACAGACGCAAAATTTGTTGATCTTTTGTCAATATTTTCACGATCTCACACCCAATTCCAAAGAAAATTTTGTCTATGGGTAATTTTATGATCCTCTTTCCATTGGTGATATCAGATTGTTCGAAATCTTACCGAATGTTTGAGATAGCAAACTTACATGTACAGGTGTAGGTCACACCGTCATACTGGCAAGTTCTGTGCAAAAGTTATGGAAGTTGCACTGATGCCAATGGGACATGTTTACCACCAGCAGAATAACTTAAAAAATAATATGAGGGAAAGACTTTTTATATTCATGAGTTTGACAGGGACATTGATATCTTCACATCAGTGATTTGATAAAGTTTACAGGCAATGTTACATCAATATGTTAAGATTTATGATGGAAAACGTTATAAAAGAAAAACATTTACAATTATTGTTGATATTTGAAGCATAGACTTCTAGTTTTCATTGAAATACTAGGCAAAAGTGACGGCTTTGTTTTTGTACAGCGTCCAGACAGTCAGACACACAAACCCCCATCTTACCCTTTTGTGAAGATTTTGTTATATTTCATCTTGGTCTAGAAAAATATCAGGGCACAATAAAAGGGGGCTGTCAGAAATGAAAACAGGAAAGGACAAGACTATGAATTCACTTTACCGTATTTGCCGGCGTAAAGGCCGCACCGCCGTATAGGCCGCACCCCCGATTTTGACATTAAAAAAAAAATTAAAAAAAAAAAAAAAAAATATCGTTTTTTTTTTTTTTTTTTTGGTTGTTGTTGTTGTTTTGTTGCCGAAAACCCACGCGGGAAAGGACCTTCATTTAACATCGAGGTGCAGTTAAAGGCGCTGATTTGTGCTTGTAAACTTGTCACAAAATAATAGTAACAATTTCGTTTTTAGAAGAATGTGTAAGATCATTAATGTGAATTAAAAACAAAAGAGTACTAGGTCCTAGGATAGTACCTTGTGGTACACCATTTGTTATATATAAAAAAAATTGAGGAATTATTATCATAAACTACATATTGAGATCTATTAGAAAGATTACTTTCAAACCAAGATGACAGACAAATTTTAGTGTTGTTGTAGTTTCCGAGTGGTGAGTCAACACTGATTACTGAGCTGGGAGACATTGCCAGGCATAGCGCCATAAATCAAAACTAAAAAAAAAAAAAAAAAAAAAAAACAACTTTTTTTTACTCTTTCGCCGCATAGGCCGCACCCCGACTTTTTGATATTTTTTCTTCCAAAAATACTGCGGCCTATACGCCGGCAAATACGGTACTTAGCTTATATATTAGCGATTCTGACCATGCATGCTTTCATTCTTTGTTCCGCAGGTTCTTGAGTTGGCAGGCAATGCTAGTAAAGATCTGAAGGTAAAGCGTATCACACCCCGTCACTTGCAGCTGGCCATCAGGGGAGACGAAGAATTGGACTCGCTTATCAAGGCAACCATCGCTGGTGGTGGTGAGTACTGCATGATATTTCATTTCTTTATTGTTACAGTGGGGGGGGGGGGGGGGGGGGGGGGGAGAGAAGAGAGTAATACAACTATGGGAAGACCTGAAAAGAGCTCCATGTGTGGAGAGGTTGTACACAATACAGAATTGTCACTTTGCAGATACAGTATGTGAATAGTTAATTAACAAAATTCAAAAATGTTAGAGGTATAGATATTATTCTTTATGAGATACTTTATCTGTATGCCAAGTTTTTTTTTAAATCCTCATCCCATGGCCAAGATTCCAAGAGGGTGGACTGAGAAGGCACCAAAATAAGCGTGCCTTTTTAGGGTTAAGAGATCTCGACTCTTATACAGAAAAGAGAAAGAAGCTGAAAAGAAAAACTACTTCAGTGGGAAATCTAAAAACCAGACGAAGGTTTGAACAAATTAAAGAAAATCAGACTTTCAAGAAGAAAGGTGTGAATTTGTTGGTGTTACCAAAGACTTATGGAAAATTTTGGAGAGCACTAGACAATTCAGTAACTCTCATGAGTTGTGACAATCCCATTTTATTCACCAATTGTTTCAATATTGATAGTATAGAGTTCCCCGTTTTCCCAAGAAACTTGGGCTGTATTTTGGAAATTATGTTATTTGTTATGTTGGGTAAAACGATGTTAAATGTCATAACAAACTCGTAATCCGCGGAACTGACACTCACCATTAGTGCTTGCAGGGATATCTCTTTTAAATTTATGCAAGTACAGCACAGCAAGCTTTGCGCAGATATGACAGATGGCATGTCCCAATTTTGATTTGTTATGACAATTAACATTGTTTTGTGAACACAAGATATAACATAGTTTTTTTCAGAATACCACCCCTCAATTTCTTATCTTCACCTTACTGATATTGATAGTACCGCAGGGCTTGAATTAATCCAAGGCCACCATGGCCGTGGATGCCCCTCTCAATGGCCTTAGAGATTTTTTGTGCCCTTTCCAATTCTTCCTATTTGTGCTGTAATATAGGAATGTGCCCTACAGAAAAGTGGCCTTTCCCTAAAAACATTGAAATTTAAGGCCTGGTACAAGGTAATTTTTTCTTATTGCATGCTGCTGCAATAAAGAAACATTCCGTGTTGAAATCCTAAAAAATTGAAATCTTTATCAGAATGTAGAACTGATTCTTAGAATAAAATATGAAAACATTCAAGAAAAAAATTTGTGTCAAGTCAATGAAATTTTTTCTCAGCTTTGCAGGATTGTAACAGAACTGCAATCTTTTAAATATGTCAACAATATTTGTAATTTAAACAAAAATGTTTTTTTTCTTTTTCTTTCTCACCAGGTGTCATCCCTCACATCCACAAGAGTTTGATCGGAAAGAAGGGATCACAGAAGGCAACATAAGGCCTGGCTAACTTTAGCAAACTAGGTCACCTTTTTTCTACTGCTGCACCAAACACCACCACTATCGCGTAACTGTTCCCCCCAAATCTGCCGGTCTTTCCCGTACTATCAGTCTGTTGGTCATTTGTCGGTGGCTTCCTCCCATCGTAGCCACGCCGTCTCAGGTCGTCGAAAGGACTAGAACAAATAGGATTGTGACCCTGTTACTTTAAAGCCGAAGGCTCCAGCTGAATCGGACATCAAAATCAATCAACGCATTATGATTCTTCATCAACATAATCAGTGCTTGGCGAAGCTTTTTCATTGCACCATTAGTTTCACACATTAAAAGTTGCAGTGCAAGTGTTGTCGAGAGAAGTCTACAGGCAGTTTGGAAAGGTGGAAAAGTCCCTCATAAATACTGTCGTTTCTGCCTTTCAAGTTTCACTACATTTGAAATTGGTAGTGGTAACAATTCCATCTTTGGAGCAGCATTTTCTTTTTCTTCTCTTTTTTTTTTCTTGAATATCTTGTACAGTCTCAAAACTTCTGATTCAGTTATGTTTTTACAGGAGTAGGTATTCGGTAGAATTTGTATGAAATTCCTAATTGTATTATTTAAGCTCAGTCGTGTGAGAGAGATGTGTAGATGTATAGTTGATAACAATAATAAAAATCATTAACTTTTCATTCATGCAAGAAATACGCTTTTGAAGAAAAAAATGCAGGTTCGGGTCCGTAAAGGGCACTGGAGCGTTGTACAAAAAAATTATTGGGAGGGGGTTTTAGACATGTATATTGGAAGTTGACAATTTGTAAGTACCCCTGATTGGCCAAACGAAATGCATTCCAGCATAATCTTGAAAGAAAGGAAGAAATAGTGTCTCCGTTGTGAGATTTTAAACCAAGTCACTTTTGTGTGTATTGTATATTGTGAAATTCATTTCTTTTTTCATTTTTCTGTTGTAGCCGATTTTTGTAGTTTCCCTCAAGTGGAAAACATCCCAAATTGTATATTCTGTTTACACTGTAGAATCAGGGTGAGAGTGAATGATTTTTGTATTAAATGTTCTGTTCAATTTCACAGAGAAAATTTGGTCATTAAACAATTTTGGAAGTTCTTTGAAGTTTTATATAAAAAAGGATCGTGTCAGCAAGTGTGATTTCTTCCTAGTAAATTGTTTACTATGGTGATGGGTACTTGTGGGAGAATGTGAGGTGCCAATAATTACTAGGTAACAGAAAGGACTGACCAACAACTGTATCTGCCATCTTGCTAAATTTGACCTCGTAAAAAAAAAACCTGAAAGAATATTTAGACATTTTGAGTAGTTTCACCTTAAGCTCAAAATAAGCTAAAAATTAATTTCTTGTATCAAAATAAACATTGTGATGAAAAAGTAAAGGGCAGCGTCTCACGAAACCGTCACAAGTTCAACAACATCCCATTGAAATGCATGTATTAAGTATGTCACAGGTTACAATGGGATGTCAGTGAACTTGTGACGGTTTCGTGAGATGCTGCCCTGGTTATTATTTTTGGACAGGTCACATCTTGTAGACCCTTTTGCTAATGCCAAATCTTATGCATTCTTAAAGGCTGATGGCACTTGGAAATAACAACATGTGCATTCCATCCAGACAGTTGCTCTCAGAAATTTAGGACACAGCCAATGCTAGTTGAAACGGAGAGATACAAATACATTATTTAATTGGTCTTTTTTCCAAACAATTGTGGGATGTGGCAACCGATTCAGAGTGGAGAGGTGTTTGAGATGATCTTGCATGTATTACGTATTCTTTTGTCTCTAAGCCATGATACAACAAGGTTTTGAGTTTTGATATAAACAGGAAATTTGTTTGGTCCCAGTACATATGTATAAGAGGAACTACTCCTTGGGATAAGGGAAATTACTAATGTTAATGAAATGTAAAAATCTTGTTATGTCATGGCTAGAAGTAAGGAGATTAGAGAATACAAAGATGTGGGACCAGCATTCACTAACAGAGTTTATAACATTTGATGGGGTTCCGTACTTGTGAGAATGAGTGTTTTCACAGAGTGAGAGAATAGTATTGATACTGACGAGGCTACCTTGGGTAAACATTATATACTGCATCAAAAATTTGTTGGCTTTTGATTGGTTGAGAGCTCGTCACATGACCAGAAATATTTGACCTATTTTTAGAAAGTACTGTATGAGAGTACTATTTTGGTTTACTATTTGGGAGTTGGAAAAAAAAAAAGATTAATTGAATCAATTTTTTTTTAAATCTTAATTTAATGATAACAGAATATTTTAAATCTTTTTAGATAAAAATTGACATTTTTTTGTTCTAAATTTTTTTTTCCCAAAAATGTTTTTTTTTAAATTTTTTTTTAAAGAAATTTTTGATGCAGGATATAAAACAAATATACCATGCCTCCTATTCGAGGTACTGGTTAAACTATGGGCCTTGGTGACTCCAAAAGTACCATTTGCTTCGGGGCTGCGCCCCTCAGCAAATAGTACTATTGAAGTCACCTCTTGCGCATAGTTTTAACCAGAACCTCTCAAGGCAGTGTATTTTTGTATACTATCTAATAGGCCTATTACTATTTATTGATTATCATATTCATTAAATACTGACCTTGAAATGAAAGACACATAAGCATGGGGCATTTAACGCCCAACAGATGTTCTCGATTTAAGTCGGATGAAGAAGAAAAAAAAGACATTTTCTATATCGTTCAGAATTTTAGTCTGCTAAAGAGATGAAATGAAGCAATTAGACAACCAAGTGATAGAGATATAATATGTATTTTCACATTGACATTGCAGAGATTTTGATTTAACACTTTTCACATTCACGTGGAATACAAGAAGTTCGAAAATGCAAATATCATTTGAATCGTGCAGCTTCATAAGGCAATTTTCCTGATTAATGAAGAAGAAAAAAATGCTCTAATAGTTAATTTTCATGTACCTGTATCATATTTGCAAATGGCAATAAATCTTTGATTTTTGAAGCACACAATTGTTCATACATGAATGGATACATTAAACAACTGTTCATTTCAAAAGAGCAGCATCAGTGTTCATATGATTGTTGAAATTTTATAAAATGGAAGAATTACAAATGAGAAATATCAATTGAAGTAGTTAAGTCAAAATGTTGTGGAATAAGTTTTAGATGAGATTGACGACTAGTCACAAGTACAGATATAATATAAAATGCACATATTAACATGAAATAGGTAGGCAGATCAGAGGCACACCATACAACAATCAAAGAAAAAAAATGAACCCCATATAAAAATAAAGAGCATGTAATTGCAAAGGATTTTTTTTCTACATGATCAACCTAATCCAGTAAAACCTGTCTATAGCGACCACCCAAGGGAAACACACACAGTGGTCTTTGAAGACATGTTCCTTTAGTACATGTTTTAATGAGAAAACGATTTCAAGGGAAACAAAAAATGTGGTCTTTGTAGACAGGTGGTCACTAAAGCAGGTTTGACTGTAAAAAGATGAAGAGCAACTCCTGCTGAAGTGCTCAAGCCCTTGTCATTTTTAAATGGGTTAAATTTAAACCTTTGAGAATTCGGGCCATAATATCCAAACTGAAAACAAGATTGGTAAACTATCTTTAAGATAAGATAGTTTTCGAACAATTATAGATGTTGTAATCATGTTAAAACTTATTAAAGCAGCACAATTCACTTTTATTTCTACCATTAAAGACCTATTTGAAATGAAGTATTTACACAGATATATACTGGGTATTATATACAATAAGAAAATGTAATGAAATACATGTATAATAAAATAAATTTTCATTATTGTATGTAACAATCCTATAAATAGGACTTTATCCTGAGTAAATCTCATACATTATATAAATCACATGCATAGTAATCCAAGATAAAAGTTACCCTTGTGGGGAAAAAATCGCAATAGGTATACATAATTATGGATGCATTTCATTTCTCTCATACTTGATGTACTATGGTTCTTGCAAACAATCTTTGGAAAACACATTTCTCACAAATCCATATCTTTGCCAACACAACTTTATCTTGACAATTTGAAAACATGATTTTTAGTTCATTTACACAGCTGATTATATCAATATAATTTCAATAATATTTTAATATTATTGTCATCGCAACGTACAATCGAGCTGGCTGCTCTACATACGATGACGTCATCACGATAGCGGCTCGTTTGTAATCTGTTTTCCCCAAATTCAGAGGGGGCTGCATCTATTTCATGGTAGCACCAAATTATTTTGCTGCAGTTTGCTTCATTTCATTTCTTAATCTTCATAAAAACTGTCTACTAAAATAGATTCCAGTGGACTTACAATTTTATAATCCTATCTGAAAGACTAGACCTTTCAAGATGAATGTCTTATGGGAAGGGAAGGGGGGGGGGGTACAGTTCACTGGCTTAGTTTCAAATCTGGGATAGTCCATTCCAAAGACACATATGGTGCTAAACGCAGTAGACTTAAAAGTGATAAACCACAGATATTATTAGTCAATATAAGGAATGTTTACATTTGAATTATTTGTGTTAACCTGCACAATGCCATAATCACAGAATATTGTAATACACTGTACTTGCAGATTGTCTGCAGCTCACTGTAGCTCAAATTTTACCGAAGCAGCAAAAAACAAGATTGGCAGCAAATATCACCCTGTAATTTACAGCAGATTGTGCATAAATGGGGGCAGGTTAAAAGATTGGTGCTCTCTTTGTTGTGTTTTTATATTCATTCTCAAACAGCAATTCTTAACTTTTTTGGCATAATTATTGCATGAAATTGCAGTGATCGAATTATACATTTTAGCATAGTTGAAGAAAGGCATCTTTTTATTTTTCCTTTTTTTTAGAACAAAGAAAGATAAGACAATTGAGCTAGTCATCTTGACCCCACGTCGAGCAGTAAACCACATGATTAATGCAGACCTTTGTTAGTGTGTCTGCACCATTAGTGGTTAGTCCAACCAACCAATTGCGATGCATGATTCAGAACTACTTTTAAGCCAGTTTTTTGCAAAAATGCAATTCCATGACCAGAACTAAAAAAATGGCTTGAAATACAGAATTGATAGGCAGGATATGACAAAACATTTAAAATGTACACGAATCATGTACACAGTGGCGTCGTCAACAGCATTTTACAAGAAACTACTCATATCACAAATTTTATTAATAATATAAACAAACATAAAGTCATTCCAAGAAGAAAGTGAAAAAAAATACCATTATCTTCTCATTACGAACTTGTTGTGAGATGAGATCAGAAAACACTTCTTAACAAACCCCATGATTATCAATGAAAAGGTACATTTCGACAATTCATCTCCGTGTGGACCCCCTATTAAAGGACAAATCAAACACAGAAAATAGATATATCTTTGGAAGACATAAAATCATAGAGAGAACAAAAAAAAACTCCCTGAGAGATTCAAACAAAAATTTTGCAATAACATACGATACAGGAAAGTTGTGCATGCAGGCCAACAATTATGATTATATATATTAAAGATTATATATCATATATATATATATATATCATAAATAATTTGCATATATTTAGGCCACCCAATTGTAGGCGAGTTAACTTGACTAATGTCAAGACACTTTTACCTTTCTGCAATTTTGTGCAAATTTGGTTTGTGCAATACTGCAACTTGCATTATCTTTCTAGAGGAGCATTACAGAAGCATAATCTTTAATAATCAGAATTCAGGGTACCCATATGGAATCTCAAACACAGAAAAGAAATTGAAGATTACTCTTCTCTTTGGGTCTGTTCCTTCAAGATGCAGAATAACACCTCAAAAAAACTGCTTGGCATTATTGTTGGAGCCAAATAAGCGCTGCTAATGGTAAAGGGAAAACCCCTAAAAGCTTGTTCAGATATGACAGGTAAACCGCCACCAAAAAAAAAGGATGCCGCTGGGTTTTTTTGCGTGTAAATGAAATGAAATGGCAACTGCGCCAAAGAAAAGGACACTGAACTCTGCGTAATAAGATACAGAAATGGAAAGTTACACTTTACGTCATCATGAAAAAGAAACATGCGGTTTTGCAGGGTCATATCTGAACGAGCCTTTAATGAGGAGGTATTTTGCCATTCATGATGAGAAGGATATCGTTGTATACGATCTTATTTGCATCCATCGCCCAGATGAAGTCCAGATGCTCAAAGTTCTTGATCTCCTTGTTGTAAATGAGATGGGGTATCTGGGGTATGAGCCTCTCCACGTCCTGGGGGTCGGCTAGGAAGTCGTTGTCCCCCCAGAAGAGGGCGACAGGCACGGCGAGGTTCCCCACGTGGTACTCTGGGGGTGTGGTCTGAGAGAGAGAGAGAGAGAGAGAGAGAGAGAGAGGGAGAGTGAGAACAAGAAAGGGAAGAGAATGAGAAAGAGAATGAGAATGAGAGAGAGAGAGAAAGAGGACGAGAATGAGAATGAGAGAGAAAGAAAAGAGAATGAGAAAGAGAATGAGAAAGAGAAAGAGAATGAGAATGAGAATAAGAGAGAAAGAGAAGAGATTGAGAGAGAAAGAGAATGAGAGAGAATGAAAAAGATGATGAGAGAGAAAGAGTAGGAGAATAAGAGAGAGAAAGAGAGATAATAAGAAAAAAAGAGAAAAGAAAGAGGGACAAAAGAGAAAAAATAAAGTGAGAGAGAGAGATGTTAGTTGACAATTAAACCATGATAGAAAGTTATACAGATTGTCTTGCTAAACTCAGCATGGAATGAAGTAGTGCTCTGTTCTAAATTTTTGTTTAACCGCTGTAATGTCATATCATGCACTTAGTAAGTTGTATCACACAGTCTCCTGTGACAACGAATCCGCAATCAATTTCCTACACCAAACAAATTCCCCACTTCAACCCTCGACCCAACACTATAACAAACCCTTACCCTGATACTAAACCCAAACAAATATTTAAACTCTTACCCTCAAAGTAAAAGGAAAGTGAAAGTAGTATAAAAAACTTTAGATTCATACTGGTGTAAACAAAATTTGGTTCAGATTTTCCTTTATGACACTACCAAAGTTCAGCCTAGTGTCCAAGAGACTTTAGGCCCATCATTTGGAACTCAGTATGCTTTAATCAGAATTAAGCTGCATTTTGAAAATAGTACAAACGTGTCGCTCACTCAATATTATGTGTAATAGTTCTTACCTGATTGTATTTAACTAAGTTTCCAATCAATCCATAATCATACATTTGACATTTTCCAGATATCACCATCTAAAAACAAAGACAAATAAAAAAATGCATACATATGTTAGTAATAGGAAGGTTTGATCAATGCTAATATCACCATCTAAAAACAAAGACAAATAAAAATGCATACATATGTTAGTAATAGGAAGGTTTGATCAATGCTGATATCACCATCTAAAAACAAAGACAAATAAAAATGCATACATATGTTAGTAATAGGAAGGTTTGATCAATGATGCCAATATAAATCTTACCTCTACCAATCAAAACTATATTCACTGCTATTATTCTAATTATTGTTGAAAATATCATTACCATTATCATCATTTCCAATGTGACTATCAATACTATCATTATTGTCACTATTATTGAAAGCCTTTGTGTTAGTTATTGCCATATGCCCTCACACTGACAAAAGTAGGAATACTCCCCAGGGAATGGAGATGGTGCACATTGTGCGTAAATGAATTTGATGATCTGGGTAGTAATATCTGTAAAGTGCTTCGAGACGGTATTTGGTATTAAGCGCTTTATAAATCCAGATTATTATTATTATTATTATTATCCTCATCATCAACCTCCTCCTCCTCTTCCCTCCATCTTCTCCTCCTATTCCTCCTACAATTATTAGCATAATCTTACCATCACTACCACCACCATACCATCGTCATCATCTTCTATCCTCCTGGACAGCTTTATCACAGTCGTTATCATCATTATTAGGTGGAAATATTCTTTTCAGATTGGACAGCCCAACAACAACAACAACCAACATTGTGTTCTTCATACCGGTAATTATCTCAATACAGTCAAACCTGTCTGTAGCGACTGCCCAAGGGAAACACAAAAGGTGATCTTTGTAGACAGGTGGTCTTTGTAAACAGGTGGTCTTTGCAGACAGGTTCCTTTTAATAGTACATGTTTCAATGAGAAACCATTTTTTTCAAAAGGGATGTGGTCTTTGTAGACAGGTGGTTACTAAAGCAGGTTTGACTGTAATACTACAGCCAAACCTGCTTTAGTGACCACCTGTCTACAAGGACCACATTTTTGTTTCTTTTGAAGATGGTTTCTCATTGAAACATGTACTAAAGGAACCTGTACATAAAGACCACCTGCCTACAAAGACCACCTTTCTTGTCTCCCTTGGGTGGTCTTTATAGACAGGTTTGACTGTATCACAAACCTGGAGGAAGTGCTCCATGTTCTGTAGCGACGTTCCAGCGGGTTCGTTGGAGACATAGACCTGCAGCCTGGATGCATTCAGGTGATGCTCGCTGAAGCCACCTAGGTACATCATGACATCCTCGCAGATGAACCGCGTTTCAGGCAAGGCACACACTGTTTGGGCTCCAATGTGATTGAGGAGGTAGTCGTTGGGCAGGAACTCATCGATGCCAGCTAGTGACAGTACATCCTTGAAAACAAGAGAGAAACAAGTTGTCTTTACCGGTAAAGATACTAAGAATCCTCTAATATGAAGTACATGTGTGATTATGAAGTTGGTAAAAGCATATGAAAGAAACACCATGGAATAGCACAGGAACAGTGCAAAAACTTGGAATGAAGAGCGACTGAAACAAATTTGGAGGAAAAAACAATTGGATATTCTCAAACACACTTTGATCTGAAGCACAGCACTGCTCTGTTATATTGAGTGAAGAATTTCTGATAATCTGACAAAAAAATGTTGTCAGCCTGACCGCAATATAGACACCAACATCGAGGTCAATTTCACCCCCACCTAGCCCATGCACCAAGCTTTGTCAGTGGGGACTAGTATGACTGGAGATCACAAAACACACAAATCTGACTAAAATTTCAATCAAGATTGGTTGTAAGATGGCCCACAAAAGTTGGAGTGTAATTTCCCCTGCAAGCCCAGGGACAAAATTTTGTCAGAACGAGGAGGTATGGCTGTCCAATACAAAGATATAATGCCAGGGGAGTGTTTCACAAAGACTAAGATCGACTTTAAGTTGGACTTAACTATGGCAGGCCGTTCATGCCACTAGTTCCTCCAACCATTCCTGGCACTGGATTCTCGAGGGACGTACAAATCAATGTCACAAATCTACAGAATTTTCATTTTTTTTGATAGTTCATTATTGAAGGAAGAAAAGTTATCTAAAGATCATAGTTGAGAGACCAATGTTGAGAGCAACAAGTGCCATGAATAGCCTTCCATAGTTAAGTCCAACTTAAAGTTTATCTTAGTCTTTGTGAAACACCCCCCAGATTTCCAACCCTTTGAAAAGGATGCTCACTTACAGCTAGCAGCTTCACAAGCTCCGAGGTAACGATATCCTTCAAGGTGATGTCGATATCCTGGACGGTATAAACAGGGCCCAACGCGAAGAAGTGCTTGACCTTCTTGGCTAGGTTAAGGTCAAGGGTGAAGCCGGTAAAGGCCACCAGAGTGCCCTGCGAGTGACCCACGTAGTCCAGCGTGGATTGACCTGACATCTGGAGGGCAAAGTTCAATAGGGCAGGGATGTCATATTTTGCCATTTGGTCCCAGCTACGGTAGTAGAAAAATAGATATTGACAGAATTAACAGTATTGTAATACTAACTTAATAATACTATCTCTTTACTTTACATAGTACAGCTTATATTACCATGCATATATTTTATTTATTTATTAGTCTTTTTTTTAGTAGGGTGGCTCCATCAGTAGTTAAATACTGTTTTCCGTGGAGGCCCTTACTCTATTGACTTTCACAAAGTATCATTTTATTACCCCGGCTATCATGATAAGGCATTCAAAAATTCAGAGTAGATTTTAATTAGATGTCCATTTTAATCAACCTGGGTGGAGGGTGGCAAATGTAGACTTATGACTTGTCAAAGGACATTAGTGCTGCAGCAAGGATTCAAACCCTGTACATGTTGTTCATAGTCAGGTGACTTATCCACTAGACCACACTACCGTATAGTGCGATATGATATTACGTTATGATAGTACAGCATATGCTTCTGTACTATTTGTTGCACTCAGCTACCAAATTGCAATTTATTTACATACACAAAAAATTTTAAAAAATGAGAATGAGGTGGAAGCTCTGTACATTGGTGTCGTGGTTGATTGGATATCGTCGGTGGGTGACAAAACCTCGTATCTCAAAAATCATGAATTTTCAGGAGAGGGTAATAACATTTCCTGTCTCAACAGATTTAGCGCTGTGACACCGTCCTTTGTGTGGAATTTGTGAAAAAAACGAGACAGGAGGCGTTCCACGGATTTATCAGGTGGTGTCGTAGGCCATTAGGTACAAAATTATGCAAAAAAAATCAAAATCTCAAAAAATTGAGATACAAGGTTTTGTCACCCCACCGACGATATGTCACCAAACTGAGGATCACAAGGTCTGCTATATCGAGTCCCGCCGCGGCACTAATGTCCTTTGGCAAGATATTAATCTACATTTGCCACAGTCGACCCAGGTGAGGTACATGTAAATGGGTGCCTAGTAGATTTATTTCTTGAAATGCACTGTGCGCTGATAATGGCTGCCAGAGCTAAAGCTAGGGTAATAAAATTTCCAAAGCTCTTTGGAAGCGCATATAGGGACGTTATATAATGTAATATGTGCTATACAAGAACTGAATATTAATATTATTATTCAGGGGTAACAGTGATTAAATAAAACCACCCCCACCCCTCTGAGTAAAAAAAAATAGGGTAAAATTGGGAAGAAAAAAAAATCTGGAAAAAAATTAAAAATCTGGTAATTATCAGGCCTGATTATTATTACCTGAACTGCCAGTAGAGCTGTTCATTGGGATCCAGCCATGCATGCCTTCTAGAGTAGGTGTTTCCCCTCATGTTACCCATCCATACATCATAGCCTGCATCAGCCAGGATGAAACCAAGGCTCTCACTGGCTGAATTCTCGACCCAGCAGGTGGAAGCGGCCAACAGGCCATGCTGAAGGAAGACGACTGGTTTGCTGCCTGGGAGAATTAACAGAAGAAATTACAGAAAGGTGGAAGACATTAAACAGGATTGTACAAAAGCAATCAATGTTCAAACTTCAAATCCTCTAACAATAACGATTCATGCTGGCAAACTTTTTGAAGGAATTTGAAAGGACGTTTGGCTAATTTGGTGGAATATACAAATGTTAAACATTCTACAGCACGCTTTGCCACTGCATTTAACTACAACTACAACAAATGTCATTAATGTGTTGAATAATTACTGTGTTTATTGTGCATATTGTTTTAATATTTGTTATGGAAATGTGAAAACAAATCGTTTCAATTCAATTCAACTTGAGCGAAGTAGTTTTTACATCACATGCCCTGAAGCAAGAAATTGAAAATCTTTTGAGAGCTAGGAGGGTGTTAATTAACTCTGTGTTTCAAGGATGTGAATTAATGGCCCTCAGCAGAGTAAATGCAAGTATGATTGTGTAAACATGTGTGGAAAGAAGAAGAAAAAGCAAAAGAACATACTTGCATCCTGTTTGAAACCCTGCCAACCATAATTTCCATTATACAGCATTACAAATGACCCACTTCGGGTGGAATTTCACATAGGAATAATCTGCACATGAATATTTAAATGTAATTTTAACCTAAATGTGCATGGAGCTTAATTTTATGTGAAACAGAACTATAAGCAGAATATAATATTTCAATCATCTCACTGGCTGAAATGCTAGAAATTCAGAGGGATGTTTCAGAGAGCTTTAAAACACAACAAACACAAAATTCTCTGAGTATAATTCAACAACAAACAGTCTATGACTATATAGTCTTCTTTGTGCAAACTAATCATACAATATTTGTAAATTGTGATTTTGTCCGCTGAGAGCCACAAGGGAACTAACTCTGTGTAAAATGATGAGTTAACAAATTAACATCCTTCTGGCTCTAAACAGGAGATAGGATAGAAAGTGTATCACATGACCCTACTGTACAGACATTATATCACTTGGTGAAAGTATTCAGCCAAAATGCCATGTCATTCCATTACTGCCCTTGTGGAATTACCCTACTCTATGTCACATGTGCTAACTTGGTATTGCTCTTCCTTCCTCTAAACTATTACTTGTACTTTTTTTTTTAAAGTGAAACTCAATTAGTGCTATCAAACATTTTTAGGAATCAGATGACCTACATAATGTACATTACACATCAAAAACAGGGTTAAAAGCATTCCTGATACACCCATATTGATATTGTTAGATTACATGTTTTCTTTATAGAGGATCAATCACACAACAGTATTTGCTTTAAATATTTTCTTTAAATGATTACTTAAACTACCTACTTCTTTATCTCATTAAATACATCATTGTCCTCTTTTCACTCCATAGACTTTGTGCTCAAGTGTGTGCATGTCCTCATTGAGTGGTTTCCTATGTCACAATATAGCCCCAATATAACTCTAAATTATGTAAGGAGACTACAGGCCTGTCTTCATAAGACTAAAGTTCCAAAATAACCCGCTATTTTCAGACTCTGGATAATATCCCGAAGCTCGAAATTGTGTCTTCACCAGACCAATACGCTCATCACAAACTAGCTCGGGCGAGCACATATTAGCCTGCTATTTCCCAAATAGTGGACTATTTTGGAAACAAGACCAAGATTTCTAGGGATATTTTCTTGATCAAATATCCTGCTAATCGTAACTGCTGGCTGATGAGGACGCAAATTACCTGGCTAATTTGAGATCGAGGCTAGTTAAAATAGCGGGTTATTTTGCAACTTTGGTCCAATAAAAACAGGTCTTACATGACATGATGGTAAAGCAGAGACACCATTCTGTACCTGTATTTTTGGAGTTGTTTTGTCTGCCATGGGGGATACGGAACAATCCTAGGAGATATCCATCCTCTGTCTGGACAGTATACTCCTCCACAGGGTAACCTTTACTCCAGATCAAACCACTCTGAAAAAGGAAAAAATATGATACATCTGAACAAATATTGTGCTTCTTTCAGTATAAGGATTGAAATTTGTCTTATTGTCTGATCATTTAGCAAATAGTATAAATACAGGAGGTAATGATAATACAACAAATGAACAAAAGGTAGAAAAAGACAAAATAATGGGAGAGGTGTTTTTTTTTAGTGTATAGAATAAGGGTGAGAAGGAGGAGGAAGAAGAAGAAGAAGAAAGAAGAAAGAAGAAGAAGAAAGAAGAAAGAAAAAGAAGACAAAGAAGAAAACATTGAAGAGTAAGAAGAAGACAAAGAGAAGGACAATGTGAAGAAGAATGTGTTACAATTATACATGTATGTTGGGATAAAGCCCCCCCCCCCCCCCCCCCTCCCCTCCTCCTCTTTCTTCCTTCAGGTTAGTGCCAAATTCTTTACCTTCTTTTTGGAGGTTTATGTATCTCTATTATGAATATCTCCTATAGGAGATCCCTATACACATGTCCTTGCATGAGTGCATTCCTTTTGTTCTGAGAAATGTTACAGCTGACATCGGCAGGTGCTATAGCAGGCAATGCATTCTGAGGAAGTGACACATGCATTTGTTGTGATTCACTACATGTACATGAGGGCTTGTGAGGAAACTGTATTGGAACACTGTGATATGTATACATGCGACCTTGTGAGAGCGTGTTGTGCATATAACTATGCATGAGGGACAGACATGCAGTAGCTGCTAGTATTGGCAAGGTGAGAAGAAATTTAAGCTACAACCTACAATCTAAAACATCATCATAATTTTTGATAGGAAAATGCTTTCTAATGTGTATTCTTCTTTTCTTCATAAATTTATCAAGTGAATACATCTAGATTTTTTTACCTGTTGCAGATGGACAAATTATACGACTAATGACATTGCAAAGAAAGGACAAGACAGTCAAATGTTTTGTCATGTTTTATGTCTTGTCTTCCTAATCTCAATTACCATGCAAGGTCATGATGACTTTGAAGTTTGAGCAAGTGGAAATAAATCACCTGCTTGGAATGACCTTGGAAACAAAATATGACATGACCTAAAATAGCATCCAACAGCCACATGTGTTCCATTAAAGTAGAAAAAATAAATTGCAAACCATCTCTTGAATCATGTGACAGTCTATTTAAGTTTGACCTGAGGAAGGAGTATCTCATTATTGACAGGAACATTGTCATAAAAAATAGACAATGGTTTTGTTGTAGGTCAAAGGTCAATCGGGGCAGTGTTTACTCCACTAAGTCAACAGATGTATCAATTCTTTCTTCTATTGAATTTCCATTTTCATAATCTGGTACGGTTTGTGCAGTTGTGTGTTTTGCGTGGGTACACATGTTTACAAGCAATACTTCACGTGACAGCAAGATTCAATTCTTAGTCAGATTTATTTTTGCATAGCATCTTTACATTTCCTTTCAATTCTCATGTAGGAATATGTATTCTTGACAAGTACAGGAAGAAGAAATGTAGTTGCAGAATTATACAAAACAACCCCCATCCCCCACCCAGTTCCTGAATATGTTGATTCATATGTTTATAAGAATGGACAATTAAGGCATGTGTTTTCCCAAAATCATTTTCACTTTAGAAATCAAAGCTATTTTCGGAATTTTTTTCTTTTCTTTTGTTTATACTTGTTAATGTTTTGAAGTTAATTTTTTGTTGTTTCTCTTTCATTTCCGGGGGATGGTTCAAGCATCTCAGATAGCAATAAACCAAACTTACATCCTTAAACAATTTGGTACAAAAACATATTGCAGGTAAAATACCTGCTTGAGAGTCCTCGAACCCGCTCTCTTCTAGGGGATCGATCATTTACTGCCTGTGCATCGAGATTGTGGAATGGTTTTCCCCAAATCCTTCTCTCTTGTCACCAGTTATCCACTTTCACAACTGAACTAAAGATATACCTATTTCAAATTGCTCAATTACAATTAGTCACTGCTTTTTTGTCTTTCCCAGTTAGAATCATGAACAGACATTTTTGGTAGTTTTTCAGTCTCATCAGCGCCTTTGATTAGGCAACTAGATATTGGCGCTTTATAAATACCTGGATTGGATTGTTATTTCTTTTTTCAAGCTCTATCATTCACAAGTCAACGACTTAAACAAGAGTCAACTGCAAGGAAGCAAATTAGTAAACTCTCCATCAAAAAACCCAGAAATATGAACATTGACTTACAAATAAAATCTCATTTTTTACCAATATCCTAATTATTTAAGTGAAAAAGCAAAAAGATAAAATACCCTATGAGGCTATGACTATCCCTCCCCACCCCCATATAAGGCAATTACCTGTACGACAACCACCCCCTAAAATAAGTTCCTCTAAAGCGATTCTCCTCTATCCCACTTCGCCCCTTAAAAAATATTTCAATCACCCTCAGACCACTATCTACAGATTAGTTGTCTTGGGGTAATTACCCTTGGAAATATATGTTCTACAGTGGAGATGTCCTACAGGGGTTGTCAGGGATGGTCATACAGAGGAGTAGTTTTCCCTGAGAGGAGGGGGGGGAGGGGAGGAGGGGGGGTCATCCCCCCGAATCTGTAGACCTGCAGGGAGAATCTAAAACTCACCATGTTATAGTAGACATCAGGATCAACAGGCCACGGCCAGCCCGGAACTTGGGTGCTTCTTACGGCAGACTTTCGTTGCCACGTCTTGCTAAGCTTTCTCAAGTCATCCAAAACATCAGAAGATCTTATTCTCTGTCGTATAACATCCACTTCTGCGTTGCTCAAGTGCACACTGTTGCTATTTTGTGGTCTGTTTGATTTCATAAAGTCAATCAATTTTGCAGCCGTGTTAATGGTGGTCTCCCTTCTTATCGATGATGCATCCCGGAATGGTACAGATGCTGGTGTCTTTGATGATGCTACCTCTGCAGCTAGTATCAGTGCCAAGAGGCTAGCAATGATACAATGCCATGTGGCTTGTAGCTTCAAATGGGAAGTCATCTTTTAATCTCTGCCTTACTTCATTAATCAGCAATTCCAAAACATCGGTAACATGAGGTTGATGATAAGTCCAAATCTGGCAGTTGCAGGATTTGTGTCATCAATTATACCTGAAGACATAAGTTTTGGAAACAGAACAGTAATAGAAACTAGAAAGGTATTGGTTATAAGTTTTTAATTCAGTAATCTGACTTGCCAATTAGCAGTAAAAGTTAACTAGAGATCTGCCCAACCCCACCCCAAATATATGCCTATGAATAATTAAATAAATCATGGTCTACAAACATGTAAATGGCTAATGTGATTACTGCATCATGACATCAGCCAGGGCCAGGCATCACAACAAATATAAAATAAATAAATAGACCCTAAATAAATATCATCAAGTCTAAGTCTGACTGACATTAAACATAAAAGGCAAAAGAACAAAATATTGCGTGAGAAAATGATTGGTGACAAAGATGGGCATTGCCACAAATGACAAAATCTTCTCTTCAAAGTTCGAGACTTCACCAGTCCAGTGTCAGCTCATGCTCAGTGATATTTGCCCAATTACCGAATGAGACTCCAGTCTAGACTTGATCAGATTAGATCTTCACAAGGTTTTATACTTTATAGCAATAAACAAAAGGTTAATGACAAAACATGACTTAAATTACGGAACAATTTTAACGTTGGTATTTCAAAACAAATGTGTAGCTTCATTTTTCAAATCAATTAATTGGTCCCAAAAATGCAAATTCGGCCAAAATTATCAGTAACAGCAGTCCCACATGTTCACATTTGCGTAGGAAACATCAATACCAACTTGATAAAAATAACAAGATTGAGCTGGACCAGCAACTTACATTACTATACTTCATTCCTTGTTGTTAGTGACTCTCATGACGACTAAAGTTGCACCTTGTGATATCGTATGATATGTCCTCATGTTATTCTCTTCGTCGTCACGTTTTATTTGTTTTGCCTAGTTTTGGAAGAAGTGGGAGGTGCTCGCTCGTTCAAATAAGTCGCCTAGGTTACTGTACCACCTGATTCGATTGTATCGTCCCAATCAGATGTGCAATTCAGATGCACATCAATCGACCCATTTTTATAAACATGTAGCTTCCTCCCATGCAGGGGGTGTTATTGATAGATGAGGGGAATTAGGCCAAATTTACTGATATTTATTTGCTGGCAATGATTTGTCCATAGACATTTTTGATAGGGTTATCACCCAACATCTCCTCTCGTTTCTATTTTTTATCACAAGCATTAATTAACATCATTGTAAATGTTTATCAGCTCAGCTCATTTCTCTATAGGTCTATTCAGCCAGGGGCGGTTCTAATTTATTCAAGCACCCCCGACAACAACAACAACAACAACAAGGCCTAAGCCCCAAACGCGTAACGCCCCCCTAAAGAACATAATTATTATTCTAAAGCTGCTCCAGCGCTCATCCAAAAAGAAAGAGAAACTCAGGAAACTGGAAAACGGAAAGAAATAGCCAAATATTTAAATCGAAAGAGAAATGTAAATTTAAAAAAGAGATAAAGACTGAAAGGAAAAGGAAATATGAGATAAAAGGTGGAGGGAGAAATAAATTGATAGAGAAAGAGAGAGAACGGGGGGGGGGGAGCAGGGAGAGGGAGAATAATGAATGGGGTGAGAGTGGATGAGATAGACTGAGAGTGAGCCTGCACAAAATTGAAAGAAACTAAAAGGAAAAAAGACAGAAGGAACAATTTATAGTTTGTTAATATAGAAAAAGAAACAGAAGAGTTAAAGACCTAAAAAAAAATAGCAAGGCGAAAGACTTATTCACTGAATAGACATCGAGCAAAAAAACTTAGCAACAACATAATATATAGGCATAATTATTATGACTATGTATTGTAAATCAATATATTCATCTATCTTGTAAATGAATTTTTTTTTTTAAATACACCATCAATGGCATCATGCAAACTAGCCAGAAAGAAAAAGTGGCATGTGCCCGATAAAAAAACGATCCCGGTAATCATTTTTCATTTTACAAAATTATCCTACAGTAGATTGTATAAATCATCATTAAATTTCATTTTTTTTTTTTTTTTTAAATATCTGTTTCATGTTCAAACCTTCAAAATCGTGTTCTTTACCGTTTCCGAATTTACAGAATATTCGTGACGTCAGCATAAAATCCTGAGACGGTATATAACTTCCGAAAATTTAGGGAAAAAACTATTGCATGTACAAAAAGGGAACACAAATAGAAATTTAAGTTAAAACAGGAGTCTGGTTATTGTTCTGTAGTGAGTATAATATCAAATGAAGATGGTATGATGGGTACAACGAAGCTAGTTCAGCACTGTGTGAAAGATAATTGTACATGTATTTCAAATGTTTTGAGATACTGTCCTCGATTTTAGGGGTCGGCGATAGCGTTGAGGACTGTCTTTGACAAGAGAAGTGCTTTGGCGCCATCTGCGTTGTAATGAACATTATTGTCATGACAAAATCACACCCTGGTTTTCTTACATCAATTAGCGAGCACTGTCTGCACTAAAGTTCTGACTACGTAGTTTTTAATTGGCAGAAAATAGCACATAGAAACACACAATGCACCTTCAGAATGACATGACTGTTTTGTTCGACAGTCAGTACGTCATAAAACATATAAAATTTCCACTCACAAATAAACAATTCATAAAGAAAGACATCACTTTAATAAGACCTTGAGATATTTTCTTCATATTCATAATAAAAGTACATATCCTTTTCTCCATCCCGAAGTAAATATTATTTTTTATTTCTCTTTCCCTGTCCATCAAATTTCAAATCTTCAAGCTTATGATGGTGCTTGCAGTGATGTCTCATTTAAATTTATGCAAGTGCAGCCACCTTTGCGCAAATATTAACAAATGGCATGTCCTATTTTTTATGTCAATTACTTAACATTGTTTTGCTTATATAAAAGTTTGTTTGAGAACATCACCCCTGAATCCCCATTTTCACCTTCGTGACTACTGATAGTAATGTCTTATGGCATGCAATATGTATCTGCATCTGCATCTGTCCGTGACGCACCCGCCCCCTCCCCCTCCCCCACCCCACTCAGTGTTATTTAGGGTACGCGTATGCTTGTTCCCTCTTTTTGAAAGCACCCCCTATCTGAGGACTGCCAACATTTCCGAACCCCCCTTTCGCTGACTTTTCGCGGGCTTTTCCTGCCTTTGAGACCCCCCTAAATTCGGGAAAATGCTCAATGTACCCCCCTAAATTCGGAATAATTTCTCAGGAGTCCAAAGAGATGAGAGAGAAAAAAAAAAACCCTCTTTTTAAAGAAATCTCCGGGTGAAAAGTCAAATACACCCCCTTTTTTACAATTCTCGGGCCGGACTTTGTCGTACGAAAAGTACCCCTTTACCTGACATTTTGGTAACACAGATGCGGTCATTCCGACCCCGGAGTGGGGGGGGGGGGCGGGGTGACGTACAATCACCAGCATCTGGTTGTCTCGTACGTTGGGTTAGGGTCAAAACGCCAAACACGCCTAAATATTGAAGTCTGCTTCGACTACAAGGTTTTTAATGTCTAGTGAGTCCAATTTGATTTTAAAAGTTTTAAAAGTGTGCCAACACAGAGGGAAAATAATTTATGTGTGTTAAAATCCTGAAAAATAGAAATCCTTGTCAGAATGTAGAGAAAATGATTGTGAAATTTTGGTTAATGCTAATAGAATTTGGCGTTAATAATTATAATTGAATGATACACGCCTAAAACTAAAGCAACAAACTATCGATCTATATCGCGATACTTCCACTCCTCCGTCGTCGTGCAGTAACACAGTGTTAGAAAAAGGATTGTCCTGAAAAAAAACGCCTCAAATTCAACCAAATGAGCTTATGTTGACCTTGGACAGTGGCGGATCCAGGGGGGGGGGGGCCCGGGGGGCCCGGGCCCCCCCCTTGAGAAAAAAATCATGTAAAATCACGTGATTTTTACCTTTTTTGGGGGTTGGGCCCCCCCCCTGGCGCTCAAGGGGGGGGTGCAAATTGAAATTTTTTGAGGATCAAAAAAAAAAAAAAGTGCTCACTACCCCCCCCCCCCCCCCCCCCCCCCCCCCCCCCCCCCCACTGAGCGAATTTTTGGCCGGCGCGTTTTTAAAATTTTCGGGAGCAAAAAAAAAAAAAAAAAAAAAAAATTGAGGATCAAAACAAAAAAAATGTGCTCACTACCCCCCCCCCCCCCCCCCCCACTGAGCGAATTTTTGGCCGGCGCGTTTTTAAAATTTTCGGGAGCAAAAAAAAAAAAAGTTGGGCCCCCTCCCCTAAGAAATCCTGGATCCGCGCCTGACCTTGGACTACTTATTCTGCCAGCATCAAGAAGGTATATTGTTTTGATCGGTTTAGTATTTTTTTTAAATTCATTTTAGTGCATTTGTAGGATGTTTTTGAAGTTTAATTTGGGCATGCAGAAACTGAAGAATCACCCGAAACTTATCTAATTTGGCAAGTATTATCAATGACACTAGCTATACTGGCGAAGAGATGATTTTGTCATTTCTGGCCAAATGAAATGGATTTTTCATTTGAACTGCAACTGCAATTAAGTCATTGATTTTCCTAATTAATTTAACCAGATTTATCGTTGTGAAGTTGCCTCATTAGTGATGCAAACTACATAGATCTATTTATGTATTAGAGTGTAGGCTACATAGTGACCAAATGTCACGATTTTTAACTTTTGTTAAAATTGTACAACTTTTGCATGTGTAATGACGTTTTACAAATGTATTCATTGAAATTGTACATGTTTAGCCTAATGTATTGCTTTCCTATTTTCAAAATGGCGAAAGGGAGACCTAATTTCGGAAATTCCCTGGTGCTTTTCCACTCCGCCTGTCTTGCTTTTCAGACATTTTTCAACCGGGTCTGTCTGGTTCGTTAATACATTCTTTTGTGACGTATATTTGTTATTATTAATAATAAACATTTAAAAAAAAACGGTATTATAAAGCACCTTCCACTGAAGTCTATTAAAGCTCTATAACAAACAAATGCAATGATAAACAATTACATATTTATTTATTTTTTCTATTTTTTGGACCCTCCAACAGGCCATTTATTGAAAATCAATCTCAAGATTACATATTTGAACACAATGAATATCATATAATATTTCATAATAAGATATACATAACGAATATCAACCATAATACTGTATATACAGAACATACATGTAGATTAGGGAAAGAAAAACAAAAATTAAATAATAATGCAACATCATGACTGAAAATGATGTGGGAAATTCAATATACTCCTATTAAAGGATCAAAATCCTCTCAAAATTTATCCATTTTTTATCGAATTTGTCAGTTTTGTTAGCAAATATACTAACTTACCTCTCATTTGTGTAACTATTCTTGATATATTGTTTTATTGTCCGAAAGGACGGTACAGACTTTTGTATTCGAGAAAAATATAATTGTTGTTTAGTCCAAATTATTATACAGTTTAAAGCATCATTTCTTTTTTCAATGAAACCTAACAAAACATGTATAAAGGACAGTTTTATTCTACAGCGTGTTACAATAGTTAACCAGTCAGTCAAACAACTCCAAATCAATTTGGTCACGTTACAGCAGTAAAAAAAAGTGTACCATATCTTCTTCTTCTCTTCCACAAAGGGAACAGTTCTTATTTCAAATTATGTTAATTTTCACAAGATCTTTATTCAAATATAGTATCTTATTCAAAAGTCTGTACTGAAAGTACCGAACTGTTGTATGCGTTGTACAGCGAAACATAACCCTGAAATAATATTGCATATATTTATCATCAAATAATACACATTCTGCATGCCATCTATTACATAATTTATTCAAATGTTCATCCTTTTCTTTTAACATAATTTGATATTATGTCTACATCCTTTTTCATCTTTCAACCAGCACGAAATATATGCAGGGCACAATGGTCCATTTACCTTCATATTACAACTTTCCAATTGGGACTTGTATTTGCATTTAATTATTTGACAGAGTGCATAATAATGAAGAAACTGTATTTTGATTGAA